CCTCCCTGTGTTTATTTCTATGTATTAGGTAGAGCAGCATTGACTTCATGTCTTGATTGTGGCCTAACGTAGGTGTCCTGTAGGGTCCAGTGGCACCGCCTCCCCTATCACCCAAGCTGGTTACTCTAGGTGTGCCCATCATGTGGGCTGAGTACACCGTCTTCTTGCAGTTGAGCCCTAGTTATGGTCGGAGGGTCAATGGGAGGGATTTACCCAGGCCAGTCAGCTGCAGGGGCCGGCTGTGCCCTGACCATCACTCTCTGCCCTCCGTGGAGGATCAGCTGTGCAGGTGCAGGGGCAGGGTGCTGGTGCTCCCACACGGTCTGTAGCTGTCCACTGGTGAGCAGGACCTGCGGTTTCCCGGGTGGCGCAGGCCAAGGTCAGCCCCCACCTGTGTTTTGCCTGGGGCCATCCTCCCTGAGCTATAAAGCAACTGAGATGGCTGCTACTTGCGCTGGGCTTGGTGATTCCCAGGCAAAGCCAAACTGTGAACCTAGGCCGGCTGTTGCTTGTTTGGAAGGATTTAGGAAGTTGTAAAGTATGAGCCCAGACCAGCCATTCATTTGGAAAAGCCACTGTTAACAGCTTTAAATTGGGTGGGACAGAGCCTCAGGGGATCTCCAGGGTGAGGCAAACACTGTTAGTCATGTCGATGGAGTCTCAGATATGGCCCCCGCCTGCTGGCTCTGTGGCTCTGTCAGGGGAAGGTTCAGAAAAGGGACAGTGGTTTCTGTCTGCCCTTGTGTGTGGGAGAAAGCTGTCCCCCAGCTGTCTCAGTTGCTTCCTGTGAGCCACTGGTGCCTCTCAAGCTGCTACCCCAGTGCTGGAGCTCAGAGGGAGTGAGTCTGAGTAAGTCCGTGTGCAGGTTCTTTAAAAGGAACTGCTTGGGACTCCAGAAGTTTCTTCCACCATTTCAGTCCCCACTGGTTTTTGCAGCCATAAATTATGGGAACAAATTTTCCTGGCACTGGAACCCTGGGCTGGGGGCCTGCTCTAGGGCTGAGAATCCTCACTCCTGAGATATCCCTTCTGAATTTTTATCCACTGCACATGCATGTGTGACTAGCCTGTTCCTCATCTCTACCCCTTCTACGAGTCTGGATGGATGTGGTTTCTTTAATTCCATAGTTGTCAGACTTCTTTCAACTCAATTTCTAATGGTTCTGAGTCATGGTTGTTGTATATTTTAGTTGTAATTTTTGATGTGGTTGTGCAAAGAGGTGAGCTGTGATGCTGCCATCCTGACCAGAAGCCCTCCAAATCTGTGATCTATTTTGATTTAACTTTTGTGTAAGTGGCGGACTTTAGGTTGCAGTTTGAATTTTTGGCCTATGCATGTCCCCAAAATAATCTTACCCAGGGTCAAAGAGTAAGGGATTGGAGAGCTGGACTCAAACCCGGGTCTGCGAGCTCTTCTTCTGCCCCCGACTGCGACACTGACCTCTGGACTGGCTCCCAGGAACGGTCAGTCCTGGATGGGGATTGGGGAGCATCTTGATCAGCCCTCATGGCAGTATTTCCAGCAGCCAGCCTGGGAAAGTGTCATTTGATCCGTCCGCAAACCCCAGCAGAGCCTGCTGTGCATTGGCTTGTGCTGGGCACCGCTGGGCCCCAGGATGCCCTGGGCCCATGGTCGTAATAGGGAGGTGGGACGAACACAGGTCATAGAGTTATTGGAGCCATGGAGGATGTTGCCCTGAAGCTTCGGGGGCCCAGCCCCCCACAGAGGTGACAGGAATGAGCATGAACCCCCGGGTTTAGGAAGGAGGGAGGGGCGTTCCGGGGAGAGGGAGCAGCACACCCAGAGGCCCAGCAGTGGGGGCGAACTTGGTGGGGTGACGTAGCCAAGTGGGCAGAGGGCTGTGCACGGGCAGTTAGAGCGGGGTGGTCCCAACGGCAGGAGACGGAGAGCCACAGCGGGGTGTGAGCGAGGAGGAGCGTGGGCAGATGGGCGGTTTTAGGAGCTTCCTCTGCAAGGAGGGTGGGTTAGACGGGGCTCGGCAATGAGGTGGTGCAGTTCCCCTGATCGCAGCCCAGTGGCTGGACTTGGCATTGGCGCCGGGGAGGGAGGGCTTGGAGGAAAGGAGGGGAGCAACTCCCAGGCTTCCGGAGTGGGCCCTCAGCTGGATGCGGGTGTGAGGGCAACGTGGGGCCCCGGGGGGAGCTCCTAGACCCACAGAAGCCCCCCTCCCAGCGCCCTGGCCCTCGCTGTTGGGGGACCGTTCCCTACGGAGTTGGCACATTCGGGGGACTTTGTTTAAGTGGTGATGTCACGGCTGCTGTCATAAGGAGACGCTGTTCCTTCTTGGAGTTCAGCGCGAACGCTCAGGCAGGCAACGTGAGCCAGCCGTGCTCAGAGGTGGAGCCTGGAACAGGCTGAATAAACGCAGCCGGAACCTCCTGACTCAGGCTTTCGGAGCTATTATGTGGCTGTGACTCCTCATCTGTCCCTCCCAGGAGGGCTGGATCCTGCGAGGCATCAGAGCAGGCCAGCTGGAGCCCGGACCTCGTCAGGAGGGGCCCAGCAGTGGCCCTCCGAAAGGTGGACCCTGGAGGCCCCAGAGCCCTGCCGCAGGGCCCTGGGCCCAGTCCTGGGTCTGGCTGTGCGTCCAGGCAAGTCGTGCCCTGGCTGTCACTGAGCTCCCACACCTGCCCGGCAGGTGGGGGTGAAGGCAGGAAGGGAGGGGAGCTGGATCTAACAGCGCCTGAACTTCTCCATGGACCCTTTTGGGATTCTTTCTCCCCCTCTTTCTTTCCTCCTGTGCCTTTCCTCCTTCCTCACTTGCTTATTCACTCATTCATTCGCACATGTTCGCAGAACGTCTCTGGGCTGGGCCCTGAACAAGGCGATCCCTGAGAGTGGGGAATGATTCAAACCCATTGTCTACCCTTGGGGAGCTCCCAGTCTGGCAGGGGAGGTGAAGTGCGCAAGTGAACAACTGTGACTCAAAACTTGGCCTAGGAGCTCTTAGGAGGAAGCGCCCCTGCCCAGCCGTGGGGAGGGACGCGCAGAAGGGTCAGGGAAGCCTGGGGACAAGCCCTGTGCAAGGGGCCGGAAGCGGGAGGTGAGCAAGGGTAGGGATGGAGCGCCCAGGGGAGGAGGTGGCTGCCAGAGCTTGGAGGGGCCCAAGTGCTGGGCACGTACGAGGAAGCACCAACAGGGCAGGGTGGCCGGGCACGGGTGCCAGGTGGGAGGACCTGGAACCCGTCGGCAAGGGCCTTGAATGCTTAGAAAAAAAATTTTCCCCAGGAAGCTGTGGGCTCCAGGGATGGGGGTAGGGAGGGGTTCCTGAGAAGTAAGCAGTATGAGCAACGCTGCGCTTTTGAACAGAGAGGATGGGAGCGAGGCAGCGAGGAGGTGGTGCCCAGGGGTTACAGAGGGGAGAAGGCCAGGGCCAGGCGCAGGGAGTGAAGCGGGCAGGGCAGGGCAGGGAAGCTGTGGCGCTGCCGGAGGGAGGGAGAGGGAGGGGGAGAATAGGGGACTATCACTGGGAGTGGGGAGGGGGAAGGGCGGAGCAGGCGATCTGATTGGACAGGCTGAGGGGGAGGTGCCGGGGGATGGCAGGGAGCTGGTGTCCTGGGAGATGGGTTCCCGCCAGGCCGGCTGGGGGGTGGGGTCCTGGGGTGGGGGCGACGCTGCTCCAGCCCTTCTGACCTAGAGGAAGGGGCCTGAGACACACACCCTGCCCCTGCGGGTTGGGCATCTAAGGGCCCTTTCAGAGGAGCAATTGGAGGGGGCAGTGCTCAGCCCAGGAGTGCCCTGTCTGCCCAGGAACCCCGGCACGGAAACCTCAATGCCACCACGTGGAGACTTTACCCCCCACCCTCCCTCCCACAAAGGGGCCTCTGGCCCAGCGGCTGTGTGCCACCTCTTCTGGTCGCCACTGGGGCAGCTTCTGGCTCTGAGCTTTACTGTCACCGCCAGCTCCTCCTTTGCACTGCGTGACATGGGCCTCTGCTAAAATCCCAGGGGACAGGAGCTGCCGGGGCTTACAAAGTGTTTCCTGGAGGAAGAAGGGAAATGGGGCGGTGCTGCTTGTCCCCTACACTGTGCTTGCGAGCTGGGCAGAGATGGCCCCCAACTGCCATGGCGGTGGAAAAGCAGGCCCCAGCCGCGACCCCGGGCAGTGCTGAGGCTGCGGCCGCAGGCAGGGCTCTGCTCCGGGCGGCTTCCCAGGGAGGCCGGGATCTAGGGCTCAGGCCTGTGTGGACGGAGGCCCAGGACATTCATTAACTCCTCCATTCACGTCAGATGGCTGTCCAGCAGCTGCGGCGGGGCGGGGGGCCACACAGCCGCAGCAGGTCCAAGTCGGCGACCTTCCTAGACTCCCGGCCGTGGGGAAGAGACAAGAAACCAATGTGCCCAAGTCACCCAGGGGAGGAGAAGAGATGGGGCGAGGAGATGGGCAGGCGAGCGGAGAGGGATGGCTTCGGTGGCCTTGGCGGCCGGTCCCCTGGGAAGGCCTGGCAGAGCTGCTTCTGCTGCGGGGCTGGGAGGCCTGGGCCGAGGGGGAGTGGGCGGAGGAAGCGAGGGAGGCCAGCGGGCACCTGGTGCGGGGTGGCCAGGAAGCGGGGCGGCGCGGAGGGCCTGGTGAAGTGCTGAGAGGCTGAGCAGGCCACTCTGGGCAGGGGTCGCAGGGGTCCTCTGGAAGCTCCTGGGACAGCTCAGGGTGAGGGTCAGGAAGTGCTGCTGCCCTAAAGCTCTGATCCCCGGTGGGGGGGCGCGGTTTGCCCCTCTCCTCCACTTGCCGCTTTGGGGGCGGGGCAGAGGGCAGAAGGGAGACTCGTCAGGGCCTCAGCGGCCAGGAGAGTTCTCAGAGGCCAGCCGCCTCTTTGTGGCCCTGACTAGGAAACTGAGGCTCAGGGCCAAGCGGCAGCTGGTCAGAGGCAGCGACAAAGTGGGTCCAGGCGAGGCTCCTGCCCGTGGCCCGGTCCCACCCACCCCCGGAGTCCACGCCTGTGCGAAAGGCAGCGTGGGCCGCGGCGGAACTCTGGGCATCTCTCCCGCACAGATGACGTGGGCTGCGTCGTGCCGTCCGAGTGCCTGCGGGCCTGCGGGGCCGAGATCGGCTGCTCCAACATCGCCTATCCCAAGCTGGTCATGGAACTGATGCCCATTGGTGAGGCTCTGGAGGGTCTGGGTGGGGACCAACGTCGGGGGCTGTGGGGCCATCCTGGGTCCAGTGTGATGCTGTATGACACCCAAGTAGGAAAGTAATAACAGGAAGCACGTGGCACTTGCCACAGACCAGGTGCTATTTCAGGGGCTTCACCAGAGAGTACCCTGCCTCTTCCTTTCAGGAACCTTCTGTGTTATTATCGTCCCCTTTTTAGGGACGAGGAAACTGAGACCCAGAGAAGTTAAGTAAGTTGGCCAAGGTCATGTGGCACGTGAGCTGCAAAGCTGGGATTTGAACCTGGATGATCTGCCTCCAGAGCTTGCCCTCTTAGCCAATTTCTCTTCCTTCAGGCCCCCTGGGTGCCAAGGCCTTTTACAAACTGCTTCTCTCCTTTATTTATTTATTTTATCCTCACCTGAGGACATGTTTCCATTGGTTTTTAGAGAGAGAGGAAGGGGGAGAGAGAGAGAAACATTGATACCTTGCCTCCCGTGCATACCCCAACCAGGAACTGCAGCCTTTTGGTGTAGGGGACGATGCTACAAGCAACTGAGCCACCCAGCCAGGGCATTCAAACTGCTTCGCTCCTTTAAGGCAGAGTTGTCAGCGGCACCTTACAGATAGGGGACGCCGAGGCATGAGGTGGGGAGTGCTTGTCCAAGGCTACAGAGCCCCCGAGACACAAACCCCAACCTGTCTGGCCCGAGCCCCACGGCTTACTCCGCTGGGACCAGGAGCCCAAGCCCCTGGGAGACCTTGAGTGGGAAAAAGCTGGGGGGCAGGTTGTGGCCTTTTGCATGTTCCTCGCGGCAGCAGTGGTCGCCCAGCCTGACATGGGCTGATGAGGGTCCAGTCGCAGCAGGGGCGCAACAAAGCAACGGCAAGGATGTGGGAGGCCCCACCTCAGCTGAGAGGAGGCAGCTTCCACAGCCCAGCTCATTTCTGGATTCTCAGGCCCTTCAGCGCCTACCCCCCGACCCCCCATGGAAGACCCCCAGCCCCTGCTCTGCCCTCCCTCCCAGGGGATGTTCACACACAGTCCCGGGATCGCACCCTGGCTCCGCCGCTTGCTGCTGAGAGCTGTGGGGCATGTCACGCGCCTGCTCTGAGCTAAACTGGAGACAATGACACCTACCCGCCCCTCAGCGTTGCTGCTGTGAAACATAACAGCTTAGGAAAACGGCCACCCTGGCGCAAGGCTCAGCTGCAGTGTGGTTTTCCACCCCTCGACTTTGCCTTCCCCTTCTGCTCTGGGGGGCTTCCTAAGCCCGCCAGCGCTGACACCCAGCTGTTACTGGGCCACAACCGGCCCCGCCCCCGCCATGCCTGGAGCTCCTGGCCCGAAAGATGGGTGGAGAATAAGCCCTGAGTTAATCCACCTGCCAGAGCAAGAAAAGGAGGGCAGAGAAATGCTTCGGGGAAAACACTTTCTTGAACTCACTTTGCTTTGGGAGCCACCCCAGCCAGCCCGGAGGTCACACAGCCGGTTGGGTGCAGAGCCTGCGCCCGGCAGCCCAGCCGGCAGCCCAGCCGGCAGCCCAGCCGGCAGCATGTGGCACCTGTAAGGCCGAGCCCTCCAGAGGGGCCCTGCCGGGTTTATCCTAGGGCAGGGGGTGGAGGCAGGCAGATGGGGCATCTGTGGAACAGGGGCTGCTTAGGCACATGAAGAAAAAGCGTAAGAAACCTCGGAGAGAGAGTTGCATCAAGACCCAGCGAAGGGAGGTGACCGGCCTGAAGCCACACAGCACTGAGTCTCCCCACCCTCGGCCCCTCTCCAGCCTGGACTCCTGGAAGCCTTTGCACAGCAGTGCCTCACCCACCTCCGGGCAGACCCCTCACTCATTTTTAGCCAATCAGCAGGTGGATTCTTCTGTCCCCTGTGGGGAACCACATCGCCTCTCCCACAGAGCCAACAAGAAAGGGGAACCCCTGGGCCTGCCGGGCCTCCCACACATAAGACCCCAAAGGCTGGGCCACTGCATCCTGCCCAGGGTGCAACCTTTAAGCCCAGGGTCCCACTCCAAGCCTTCCTCACTCCCCCATCAACCCCGGAGTCCTGCATCCGGCCTGGGCGCCTGTCTTCCCCTCTCTGAACTTTTACTTTTTCATCTGTCAAACGGGTTAATAATCCTTCCATCAAATGAAGTCATGGGTGTGAAAGTGCTTTGTCAACTGCAAGGCTCTGTAGAAATGAGAGGCTGATAATAGCACCAACAACAATGGGAGTGAAACCAGAAAAGTCGGCATTCCCGCTGCCTGTCACTACTAGAACCAATGAGTAGAGACAAGGATTGAATCTTTACGGGCGCTTTATTCAGATGCTGGCGATCTGTGAAGAAGGCAAGTTATGTAACCTAAAAAACCGTCTTAACGTCTCATCTCAAGCCAACTTTTTATAAAGGAGAAGAAGGGATAGGTTAGGGGTTTGGAACAAAGGCTAATTGGATAAGAGTTCCAGTCCCCCTATGATTTTCCTAGTACTTCTTTATCTGTTGATCAGCATCATGGGCGTTCCCTCCCTGGAACACAATGGCTCAGGTACCAGCGCCATGGCAGGCAGACCCCCTGGGACATAAGGTTGAATGGCTTGTCACCTCCTGGAATCACTTAGGTCATGCATTCTGGTTTCCGGAACAACAGCTTCCCACAGGCATCAGTTACTTAAGCCTCTCAACTAAGGCTAAAATCTCTAACTATTGAGTTATAGCTTTAATCACTTAAGCCTCTCAACTATGACTGAAGCTAAAATCTTTAACTCTTGAGTTCCCCTATCATGCCTCCCTGTTAGTTTTTAATTATCTTATTTCTATAAGTCTACTTTAATTAAAGAAATACAAACTAAAACAATGTAAAAGCAGGTGAGATTATTTAAAAATAATTTCACTGTTGAATAAACAGTCCTTCCACATATAGACCATTCTGCTGGCAATTTGATGTGACTAAAGGCATAAGATACATTGGGTGGTGTCGCCATTTCACTACAATGGTTTTAGCACAGCTGACCAAAGTTGCACCTTTTCCAGCTGTGGCGACACTAGAATTTTTAAAGAAAACAGTTCTTTGTCCTTTAGAGTTACCATAGGTCCCCAATTATCTTTCCAGGGGAGCACAAATGCCTACACGACATGAAAAGAAAGTTTGTTCCCCACAGGTTCCAGTCCACTTGTCTTCCAGTTGGCTCTCTAGGGGTCCTGTGTTCCAGGTCTTGAGCAGCATCTTATCTCCAGGCTCAAAGGAGTGTAGCGAACCTGTGGGGGAGAGGTCCCTAACACAGCTAAGGCCATTAATCACAGCTGAAGTCTGACTTAACTGTTGTACATAGTTCTTCAACTTCACTTCTTGACCTACACACGTATCTCCCACCCCAATCATAGCCTGAAATGGCCGCCTGTACACAATTGTGCAAGGACTCAATTGAATCCCATTTCGAGGAGCCACCCTTATCCTGAGCAGGGCAACAGGTTAAACTTGATCCCAGTGGAGATGAGTTTCTTGACACAATTTGGCTACATTTTTCTTCAAGGTGTGATTCATCGTCTCTACCTCCCCAGAAGCCTGAAGTCTCCATGCCATTGTGGAGTCTCCCCTTGATTCCTAAACATTTTCTAAACCTTCCATGTAATTTCTGAAACAAAAGCAACTCCAGTATCTCTCTGGACGCTGCCGGGTAGGCCAAAGGGAGGACTTATTTCCCGCAGTAAGTCTTTCACTACTTCGAGGATTTCTCAGTTCTAGTCGGATAAGCCTCTCCTCATCCTGAAAATGCATGAACAAAGATGAACAAATATTTCCATCCTTGGACCCTCGGTGTCTGGGCAAAGTCTGTCTGCCAGTCTTCAAACAGGCACTGCCCTTGGTATTGTTTCCCTTCTTCTTTCTGATGGGGATCTGTCTTCGGATTGTTCTGGCACACGGGCCTTTGGAAGCTCCAGGACCTGCGAGCCATGGTTTAATATAGGTGGTTCAGACCCCAGCTCTTAGCTTTCTCTGTCTGCAGTCGAATATTCAGGGTCGAATTATGGCAAGTCTTGGATGGGTACCAAAGGCATATGGACGCCCCTCTGGCAGCCTCTTTCGCTGTTCAACCAGCAGGTGGTTTCCTCTAGCCACTTAGGTGTCCTCTTTCTGACGCCCGGGGTCGTAACTGCCCCCTGTAAAGGTACCTGACCAGCCTCTAATAATTTAAAATTTCCATTGCATGCTTAATTTCCTTTATATTGGAAGTTAATAGTCCTCTTTCCTTCCAGATACACGTTCGCTCTCTTTTAAATCAATTCTGCTAGAGTAAACATCGTCAGTTATTTCAGCGCGGTCATGCATTGGCACGGCTGAGGCGGGCTCCGGGAGAAGGGGGGAAGGGTTTAACGGGCAGTGGGGAGTGGCTTGGTGCCTGCCCCTTCTTCCAGCCTTGAGCCACGACTTCCCTCTCTGCTCCAGCAGGCTCAGCACAGGGTGGGGTGCATACACGGTGAGAGGCTGTCCCAAGGGAGACTTGTAGGCGTCCTGTAAAAGCTCACGGGTGGCTGCCACTGCTCTCCAGCAGGCTGGCTACCCCCGGACAGTGTGATCTAGTTTCTTTGACAAGTCCAGTAAGACTCCTTTTGCCAGGTTCAAGCAGGAGCCCAAGAAACCTTGCTGCTGGTTGGCAAATCTGGGCCTTCCGTGCCGATCCTTTACAGCCACAGGATGCCGCATGGTTCCAGGTAGCTGTCCTATTAGTTAAATGATGCATGTACCTATTGTAACAGAGTTCCTCCTTCTAGTTTTAGATCTTTTAAGTCCTGGGTCAGGGTCTCTGAAAATCATGGGGGAATTCTTGAACCTTTGTAAGACTGTCCAGCAGTACTGAGCCTTGACCCGAGATACCGGGTCCTGCCATTCAAATACAAACAACCGTTGAGAGTCTTGGTCAACCAGAATGCAAAAAAACAAACCAACCATCTTTTAAGTCCAGAACTGAATACCAGAGGCTGTGCCCGGGTGTACTGTTCTGTACAGTGTCATTTATGGCCCTTCAGTCATGTATTGTACAGGGGGTGGCAGGGCCGAATGAGCCCATATGCCTGAAACTTCTGAATTATCGGGCACATCCCCTCCAGGGTCTCCTTTCGCCCGGGTACGGCCTCCTATCGGGAGTCCCTGTCCCTGGTCTGAGGTCGGCTTTCATGGGGGAGGCTCGCTTAGCCCCAGCCTTCCAGCAGCCCACGCAGCGGGGTTTACCTGAGTCTCAATTTCTTCTAGCCAGCGCTGCTTTCCTCCTCCTTCCTGCGGTTACCTAAGGAACTGCTGGGCATGCTCTGGAGGGACCTTAGGCGGAGCTGTTGTTATTCAAGAAAGTGATTTGAGCACAGAGTTGATAACAAATCCCTTCCCAGAAGAGGAAATCCACATCTCCTAGAGCACATTCTAATGGCTTCAAGGAAAACTGGCTTTCAGGACTTCCCGAAATTTTAGTTACAGTTCAGCTAGAGGTCTATTGACCACAGAATGTGTTGTTCTGGTATCAGTCAAAAAGGTCTACCATTTTTCTGTCCACTGTTAGTTTTTTGAGTTCTCCGGCTCAGACCTCCTTTTCCCTCACTTGGGGCACTGTTTTTTCCAGTTGCCTTTTCTTTTGCAATGTGATTGCCCACCCTAGTTTTTGTTTCCCTGATGTGTTTGGAATGGAGAGACCAGTTCAAGCTCACCTTTGGCTCTGTCCGCCAAGTAAGGAGGACTATCCCCCAGGGCTGGAGGAGCAGTGGGAACCCAGACCATGCTCACAGCAGCCAAACACCCTGACCTCATGGGTCCCTCTCTCCTGAGCTTCTGCTATGTACCACAGGCAAATTCCCTTTTCTCTGGACCATTTCCCCTTTTCCCTCATCTTTGACAAAACAACTCTAATTGCAATTTAGTACAGTAGTTCAAAGACCCGTTCAGTGGCCAGCATTCTCCTGAGTCCAGATCATACATAAGCCAAACAGTTATTACAGTAAAAAGCCATTTTCTTAGGTTCATAAGCATAGGTCAACCAATCAGCCAGAATTTGCCCCTAAGGGCTGTTTCCCAGAATGGAGGCTCTACTCCATTTTACCAGACAGAGCTCTGTAATATCACACAAATAAGAAGGAATTCACCCTAAGGAGCTGTTTCCTGGAATGGAGTCCCCTCGCCTAGTTCTACCAGGCAGAGGTCTGTAATATCACACAAACCAGAAGGCACTCTAATTCCTGATAACTATTCTAAGTTGTAACCCAGGACTGCAATTCTACCAGACAGAGCTCTGTAATACCTAAGTCATCACACAAACCAGAAGGCACCTTAATTAACCCAGGGCTGCAATCCTGAATGAGAAAGCACAATGATTCAGTTGAAAGTGAGGTTGCTCGGGAGCGCCAAGAATTGGAGAAGAAGAGTCTCCAAGTGAAGTCACCTGGAAGATGCTAGGGAGTATCCAAATCCACACCTCAGGGCCCCCACATCCAGGCGGCCAATGGGACTCTCCACAAAGTACCCAGACTTCCTAGAGAGTCCTGAAGGTGTCCCATCTGGGTCGCCAAAATAAGAAACCAGAAGTCAGCATTCATGCTGGCTGTCACTACCAGAACCAATAAGTAGAGACAAGGATTGAATCTTTATGCATGCTTTATTCAGATGCTGGTGATCTGAGAAGATGAAGGGTTATGTACCCTCAAAAACCATCTTAACATCTCATCTCAGGCCAACGTTTTTATAAGAAGAAAGGGTAGGCAATGGGTTTGGAAAAAAGGTTAATTGGATAAGAGGTGCAGTCTGGTGATGATTTTCCTAGTACTTCTTTATCTGTTGTAATTTTGATGTTGTTGTGTGATGAAGCAAGCTGTGTTTACCTACACCTCCACCTTGGCTGGAAGTCTACGTCTTTATCTGTTCATCAACAATTCTTTATCTGTGTCACAAATGTTCCCTCCCTGGGACAAAGTAGCTCAGATACCATATGGATCATTTGCAGACCTCCTGAGGCACAAAGGTGGAATTGCTTGTGGACTCCTGGAGTCACTTAGGTCATGCATTGCAGTTTCTGGAACAACAGCTTTCCACGTGCATTAATCATTTAGGCCTCTCAGCTATGACTGAAGCTAAAATCGTTAATTCTTGAGTTCCTCTATCAGAAGCAATTACAGTTGTGACTATCAGCAAGCCACAGGCTTAAGAAGCACATCCGGAAGTTTTCACAGTTTGTTCTTGGCTTCCCCTGCCTCCTGAGTTTGGGTCTTTGATCCACTGCCTCAAACATCTCAGCCTCCTCCCACCTGGCTGCATGCTGGTGGGACATGTCCTGGTGGAGGCTCAGTCATGCAGTGCTGATGGTGGGCCCTCACGCAGCAGGACAGAGACAGGGGGCACTCCTGGAGCCTAGGGGAGGGCCAGGCCGGGCCTGACAGCCCCCATCTCCAACCCACAGGTCTGCGGGGACTAATGGTGGCAGTGATGATGGCTGCGCTCATGTCATCGCTGACCTCCATCTTCAACAGCAGCAGCACACTCTTCACCATGGACATCTGGAGGCGGGTGCGGCCCCAGGCGGGCGAGCGGGAGCTGCTGCTGGTGGGACGGTAGGCTGGCGGGGAGCTGGCACCAGGAGGGGCCGAGAGGTGGGCTTCCCAGCCACACGACCAGCCCGGAGGGCCCTGCCAGAGATGGACATGAAGAGATGAACAGGAGGATGCTGGGAAGGGGAGAGGAGGGCAGACCACCTTGCCCATCCCACGTCCCACACTGCTTCCCTGGCCCTCCCTGCACAGTCCCAGCCCTCATCTTGGATGTGTCTCTTACCCGGAGCAGCATCTCTGAAGGAGAACTCTCCGCCCCAACTGCCCCAGTGATCTTTCTTCTTCCCCAAATCTGAGCCCCGAGCCCTACTGATGAGCCCCACTTGCTCCAGAGGGGACCCCGAGCCAGAACTCAGGGATGACCATGTTCAGGCCTCTGTGGCCCCGGCCCCGGCCCCACTGAGCTTCTGCCCATTTCCTCCTAGGCCTGCTTGTCCCTTCCTATTACCTCCATGACTCACCCCAAAAGCCCCCTCGTCAGCCCTCCCTGATACCGCTGACCAAGGAATGAGCCCCTCTCCCCTCTGTGCTTCTCACAGGGGACCCTTGCCAGGCTCTTTCACAGTGCTCGCGGCCCTTTCCTAGGTCCAACGTCTTCCCTGTGCCCCGCCCCCAGGGGCAGGCAGGGGCTGTGTCTGGCACAGCTCTCCACCGCCCTGCTTGGCCAGGCACCAGCAGTCCTTCGGGGTGAACTCAGCAGCGGTTGATGAGGAGCTGGTCCCCAAGGGTGTGCATGTGTCTGACTGGGCCCTCTCCTGGACCCTCCTCTCCTGCCCCCCATGAGCCACGTGGTCCCTCCTCTGCTAGGTGAAGGGCTCAGCCTCCTGGGGCTGAGCTTGGCCAACAAGTGCACCCTCTTCCTGGGAGCCCACGGCAGCCATCGGCAGGGGTGGGGGCCTCCCCCAGAGCGACGGGCCGTGTCTGGGTGATGCAAAGCAGCCCTCTTCAGTCAGAAGGGCCCTGCTGGGACACGCCTTCAGCGGGCAGGTGTGATCTCATCCGCAGCCTCCAAAACAAGCAGCCTCCCTCCTGCCTGGCAGGCGGCGTCAGCCTCAGCGTCAGCACCCCTCCGCGTCAGCACCCCTCCCCAGAGCACCCCGCCCCTCTGCCTGTGGTTCCCTGCCTTCGCAGCTCCTTTCTGGGGCCCATCCCTGTTGACAGGCTTCTCCCAAAGCCTTTCCAAGCTCAGCAGTCCTGGAAATTGGGACTGGCCTGCCCTTCTGTAGCCCAGGGTGTGCCCCGCCCCACCCTCCCCGCCCCCCCGCCCCCTCGCCCCCAGCCCTGCCAGCCTCCTCCTGGCGCAAAGCTGTGCTGGCTGAGGGCTCCCCGTCTCTGAGTCCCACTTCTCTCAGCCGCCAGCTTCGGGGAGTGGGAAGGGCCCAGCACCAGTGGTCAGCTCTCCCACACCTCCGTCTTGATGCATTGGGACACCCCCAACACCTCCAGCCTCCTCTTGCCTGAGACAACATGGTCAGGCTGTGTTCCCAGGCCATGTGGGGTCTGGATGTACAGAGCCTCCATTCAAGAGCCAGGCCTTAGAAAGGGGCGTGGGGCACTCCCAGAAGTCTGGGGAGGAGGCCCTCTTGGGGCAAGGACTGGCAGGGACATGCCGGTGACCCCACAGTCTCATCAGGTTGGGGCGGTAGCCAAAGGAGGTGTCGCAGGCCTGGGCAGTGACAACTCCACCTCTAGCGCCCTGACCTTCGCCAGCCCCAGGCCCCCTCCCCACCCTCTGCTCCTGTTTTCCTCCCCTACCACCCCTTCTGTGCCCCTTCTCTATGATTCTCCAAGAGTGCCGAGGCATCCCTTGCACCCTGCCTTGAGCTGGGCCATATGGGCATCCACTCCTGACCCTGACCCGCCCGAACCCCAGGCTGAGGGGCTCCCCTATAACTTCGGCTGCAGCTTAGCGATGTGGGGGCAGCCGACCTGTCAGCAGTGTGTGGGGGAGCAGCTGGGAAGGCGTCCTGGAGGAGGGAGGCCTTGGGCTGGGCCTGGGAAGGTGAGAGGGTTTGCAGGGGCAGGAGCTGAGACGGGCCTTCCGGGCAGAAGGAAAAGCCTCTGGGTTTGGGGCCCCTCTGGCAGCCGGGTGGTGCCTGAAACGGAAGGAGAAACCCTGGAGAGCGGCAAGCAGGCAGGGCCCTGTCTCAGGCTGGGCTGGGAGGCCCAGGACCCTACACGGAGACCCTGGGAACCTGTGTGAGGAGGGCGGGCTGGGACAGGGCGCATGGAGCCTGCCAGGCGAAGGGTTCATTAGCCTCAACCGACGTGGCACCTCCTTCCTCCACCCTCAACCCGAGGCCGGGAGAGGAGAAAAGGGAGGCAGGCAGCAGGCAGGGCGGAGTGAACCGAGGGCAGCCACGGCCGGGGCGCACTGGCTGTCCCCGCTCCGTCCGAGGGCAGCGGCAGGGGCTGGGCCACAGTGGCGCTTTCACTAATATCAGAGGCCAGCAGTCTGAGAAGGTGGCAGGTAAAAACCCCAACGCCCACTCTCCCTCTGAGCTTTCGGAAGCAAGTTTATATAGGGGAAGCGTGGGGATTTGAGAGGGGAAATTCCTAGGGGGAGCGTGGGGGTGGGGTGGAAAGGGGAGTCGCACAGCCTCTCCCAAGCTCGCTCCCCTCTTCCTGTCAGCCTAGCGCTAGCATTCCTCTTCCTGGGACACCTGTGGTTTAAGCTCTGTATCCTCTGATGGGGAGGGGAGGTGTAAACCATTTGCTCTCACGTGTCCTTGGTTAGGAGAGATACGGTCTTGCAATCCACCTGGCCGCTGTAAGTCGCTCAAGCTGTTTGGCCTTCTTTAATTTTCTTGTCTGTTTCCCCATTCCACTCGCCCAGGAATGTTCCTTGCTTCTCACTGCCCTGTCTCAGGAGGGCCCGCCCCAGCGGCACACAGCCTCGCTCACCCCTGACATCCCGCTCGGGGCTCCATGGGGTCTCAGTCCACCGCCCACTTTAGGGATGGGGGGCACCCAGCTGACACAGGGGCGAGGGGTGCTCAGCCCCGGAAGAGTAGGTGGAACACCTCGCCCAAGCTCTGCGCCTTTAGCCAAGTTGCAGGCCCCCTCAAGGCTCCAGGGCCCACTCCTTCTGGAAGCCCTCCTGGATCAGGGGTTCCTCTGGGCTCCCACAGCCCAGCCCTGACCGCAGGGTGACAGGCTCCTCATTGACCAGGGCCTGCTCTTCACCGTGTCTGGGCTCCTAGCGCAGCGCACTGTCCTCAGGTGGGCTCTGTTGAACCGTTAGTGAATGAACAGGGAAGCGTCTCTGCTGCGGAAGCCCTCGCCTAGAGGGGGGCAAGGTGGCAAGGGAAGGGGGCCGGTGGAAGGCTTTGGAATGAGCAGGACTGGCCATGCCCCTAGAAGAGTGGACCGTGAGCCCAGGGGGAGGCTGGAGCTGGGCAGCGGGGCAGGGGAGGGGGGTGGGCAGGGGCGGGGACGGGCGTGAAGGGCCTGCTGCCGAGCCCCCGGCCTGCCTGCAGGCTGGTCATCGTGGTGCTCATCGGTGTCAGCGTGGCCTGGATCCCCGTCCTGCAGGGCTCCAACGGCGGGCAGCTCTTCATCTACATGCAGTCGGTGACCAGCTCCCTGGCCCCCCCAGTGACTGCGATCTTCATCCTGGGCATTTTCTGGCGGCGCGCCAACGAGCAGGTGGGGCGGGAGGGGAGCGGGGCGGAGCCGGAAGTGGGGGCCGAGCTCCTCCCCCGCACGGAGCGTGACTGGGGGGCCTCGGCCTTGCTCCCGGGGCCCAGCCACCCTGACTTCTCCTCCCCAGGGGGCCTTCTGGGGCCTGATGGCGGGGCTGGCGGTGGGCGCCACGAGGCTGGTCCTGGAGTTCCTCTACCCAGCCCCGCCCTGCGGTGCGGTGGATGCCCGGCCCGCCATCCTCCGCGGCATCCACTACCTGCACTTTGCTGTCGCCCTCTTCGCCCTCAGTGGAGCAGTGGTGGTGGCTGGGAGCCTGCTGACGCCGCCCCCGCAGGGAGCTCAAGTAAGCTTGCCCTGACCCCTGGCACCTGACCCTTAACAGGTTCTGACTCAGGTCCCATTCTGACTCCTGACCCTCTGAGTCAAGAGTTTCCTAGCTCTTGGCCTCTAGCTCTGTCTGGCCCTGGCCCTGGGGCCTTGTTTGAACTCAGCCGCCCTTTTCCATCCCTGACCCCTGATCCTGTCCGGGCCCATCCCCCAGCCCTGCCACAGCCCCATCCCTATGCGTTCCCTGCAGATCCAGAATCTTACCTGGTGGACTCTAGCTCGAGACCTGCCCCCGGGGGCCAAAGCAGGTATGTGGGGACCCCAGGCACCCCCCTTCACTCCCATCCCTGGGGCTGGGGCTTGGAAAAAACCCCTGGCACTGGGTGCGGCCCTGTGATCCTCGTCTGTCCCTCTCCCACCCCCTCCAGGTGACGCCCAAAAATATGCTTTCTGGGCCCGTGTCTGTGGCTTCAACGCCATCCTTCTCATGTGTGTCAACATCTTCTTCTATGCCTACTTCGCCTGACCTTGCTCCTGGGTGGGAAGGTGGGAGCCCTCAGAGCCTTGGGGCCCCTCCCTAATGGGGACACCAAGGCCACAGAGGGCGACCCCCTCATGGCTGCGTGGCAGTGGGTCAGTGCCAGGGACTGGCCCTGCCAGCAAAGCAGAGCCCTGAAAAATCAGGAAGGAAATGGGAGAAACGAACGCGACACATCAAAAATGGCAGTCACAATGAGAAAGAAAATTAGATTTCTGATGGACACCCTCGCACCGTATGGCTGTTTTTATTCGGAGTACATGGTCCAGGTCAGGAGCAGCACCACCCACCAGAGCTCAGGGCACCGAGGGCCTCAGGCCACCCCTGGGTGAAGGGAGCCCTCAGCTCAGGCTCACCGGCCCTCCTGGGGCCCCCCATCCCATCTGCTCCCAGCCACCACAGGGGCCTCCTCTCCCTCCCCCCCTCACTGCCCCTGCGTCACCAGCTGGTCATTCAAAGTGGTTTCGGAGCTCCCCTCACTCTGCCTGCTCCCAAAGGTGCCGAGGCTCCAGGCTGCGTTGCTTAGCAACCCCCTGCTGGGAGCACAGTGCATGCGGACACCCTGTCTTTTCTCGAGCTGGGGCCTCGCCCAGACAGCCCCCCCGTTGTGGGGGTGGCTGGCCTTCAGAGGCCAGCTCAGGCCCCTATTCCCACCTGGCTTGCAGTCCCTACGCTGCCCGAGTGTGGGCCAAACCTGGGCCTGAACCGAGTCTCTCCGGTGGCTGTGTCCAGGGCCTGCCCCTCAGCACTTGTCCATTTCAAGAGGAGCAGCTGCCTCCATTTCTGTCACCACTGTGGCCTCGCCCTCCGGGCCTGTGCCCCTCCCCCAGGCGTCTGTAGTGGGTGGGGGTGCTGGGTGTCCAGCCGGAGACGAGTGGTGGGGCTGCGGAAAAGTTGGCCTCCGCTTGGGAGTCTGTCCCGTGAGCATAGGCCAATAGGTGTTTGATGCCCTTGCCTGTCCCTTATATCTAGGCCACCTTCCCAATAGCCAGAACACTTCAAGGGCCCTTTTGAGGGAGGGGCAGGACTGGTCAGCAACCCTTGGGTGGAGCCCCTAATGTGCTGAGCCCAGGAGCCCTCAACTCTCTCTGAGGATGGGGCCACTGATGGCTGGAGTGGGCGGGGCCTCTGCTCGCTCACCCTGTGATGTCACAAAGCTGGTGACCAATGGAAACTCCAGGAGCTCCCCCTGCCTGGGGGGGGCACTGAACACCAAGTTGGTGATGGGCACCTGGGGCAGTCACAGGTCATGTGGAGCAGTGGGGGCTGGGCTGGGCAGGGAGAGGCCCAGGCTCCTGTCCAAGGCCCATGGCTGAGCCCCAAGGGACCTGGTGGGGGTGTGCGCGGTCTCTGTTGGGCTTCAGTGTCCCGTGGACAGACGGTCTGCCAACCCTGCCCCTGGCCCCACTCTGGTCAGAGGTGCACAGGCTGGACGTAGCTCCGCGGGAAGAAGCCTACATGCCCGCAGAAGCGGCCTCGCCACCAGTGGGGGTCCAGGTGCTCCAGGACCTCGATGATGTCACCGCGGCGGAAGCTGAGCTGCGAGGAGTCCTGCGCCGAGAAGTCAAACTGCGCCTGGGCAAAGCAGGCCTGGGTGGACTGCAGAGGGAAGGGCTGTCAGTGGGGCCCTCAGGGGCCCTGGCGGGAGACTCGCCTCAGCCCAGGACGGGCGACGTGTCCAAGGCCAGACTGAGGCTGTCCTCGCCTGCGCCTCCGAGGCTGGGAAGTGGCCCCCGCCCACGGGCCTCCCGCTGCCACCCCACTTCATCTACAGGGAACAACATGACTGTCCTGCTGGCTCAGCTGGGCCCTGAGTACTGGGTCCAGGGAGGGGCTGTGGTCAAGTCCCTCAGCGTCCCCACCTGCGAACGGCATCTGGACGAGAGCTCTGCAGGCACGCCAGCCTGACGCCATCACAATTGCGCCCAGCACCCAGGTGCTGCCCGCCCCACCGGGATCTCTGCTCTGAGCCTTCGGAATCCTACCTAGGACAGCTGATAGCATCAGTGGACGGGCTGTAATTACGGGCTCTCTGCCCAGGAAAGAGGAGGCGGCATGGGTCCCAAGAGACTGAGCCAGCTCTGGAGTCTCCCCACAGAGTGGGTGATCCCAGGCCGGGCCAGAGTGAGGTGGTGGGTGTCGGGGAGCCCTCAGGCGGCCCTCAGCTCCCTGCTGGCTCCCTCACACTCTTCATGGTCAGAGCTGCCTGGGCAGCAAGGGGAAAGGGAGCTCACAGCCGGCCTGGTCCCCAGGGACAGGCCAAGGAGGCCGAGCCCCCTGCTGGGCCGATGGTAGACTAGTGGGGGTCTCCCGAGGCACTGCGTGACTGTCCTGGAATATCAGACCCCAGGGCTCATCCTATTGGACAGAGAGGGAACCGAGGCCCCGCTGAGGGATGAGCTGGCCCCAAGGTCACACGTGGTGAGGCGGCAGGGGCCTGGGAGCAGGGCAGGATGGGGGGCCCCACAGTGTCCGTCAGCCCCTCCGTGGGCCGTGGCCACGGCCAGGCCCCCGACACCCTCTGCAGAGCCAGGCTTGGCTGCAGTGGTGGGGACCTGACCTCCGGCCCCAGGCCTTGCCGACACCCCCTCTCCCGAGGAAAATAGCAGGTCGGGGCTAATAAGCCCATTAGATGGTGTCGTCACCCTAATGGGCGCTGGTCCTGGGGCCCTCGATGAAAGAGCTGGCTGGCAAATTGCTGTTATTGTGAGGACGAGGGGCGGCCACCCCTACCCTGAGTCTGGCCAGAGCCTCGCCCTCACTGCCCCGCACCCTATCCAACCTGGTACCTTGGGAGCAGAAGGCGGGACTGAGCCTGCCCGGCTGGCAGTCTTGAATGGATCACAGCACTCTCCAGGCCTCAGTTTCCCCTCCTATACCACGGGGGCAGTAGTGCACAAAATCTAGTTCAGTACATGTCTCTCAATAGGCTTGGTAGGTGTTGGTACCTTCATTCAACATTTATTGAGCACCTACTGTGTGCCATGCACTACTGTGAACAAGCCAGACACGGTTTGCCCCATGGAATTTCCAGTCTGCTCCGTCCTCTCCCCCTCCTCTCCCCCTACCCTCGCCTGTTTCACAGCCGCGCCACCAGGACAGAGCTGTTCAATCTGGGCTGGACGCTCCTCCCCCTGCCTGGGCTGCTGCGGGGAAGGGAGGCTGGCCCGGCCCTGGCCCCGGCCCCGCCTGGCGTCCTTGCCCTGTGGTGGTGACCCGACTCACGCTGGACCCGCCCACCACCCGTCCCTGCCCACCTACCTTGAGTTGGGGCTCCTCGTCCCGCAGGAAGACCTGCCGCTTCTTGGCGATGGTGGTGGTGTGGTAGAAGTCGACCAGCTCATTGAGGGAATTGAACTTCTCCTCCCACAGGAAGTACTTCCCAGAGGCCTCGCGCAGCACCTTGAAGTGCTGCACCTGGTCCCCGTAGCTGGGGGAGAGGGCCCACGGTCACCTCGGACGCCTCCGGCAGCCAGGGCACCCCCAGCCCGGCCCGGCCCTGCGTCTTCCCTGCTCACCGCTGTCTGCGGCCAGGCCTTTCCCTTTCCTGGCGAGACCTGGAGTTGGGAGGAGGTGCCGGGAGGGGGGACAGTCCCAGGCCCCTGACCTGGCTCTGCGTGAGACCTGGTGAGTACCCCCGGCAGTGGGGTACAGAGGTAAGGGTGTGGACCCTGGACCAGGCCTCTTTCTTGCTGTGTGACTTTAGGCAAATCACTCAACTTCTCTGAACCTCAGTGTCCTCATATTCACACCTCCCTCTGGGAAAGTGTTCAGAAGATGCTGACGATGGTCTATGGGCACCATTAACTGGGTTTCTCTGAGAGAGGCGGCCAGACAGCATTCCCTCTCTAACTTCCCTCTCAGCCCTCACATTCTTCTCCCTCCCTCTCCCCGCCCAGCCCTTGCAGGCCCTTGAGGAGTGAATCCCGAGGCCACCCTGACTCAGCAAGAGAGGAGCTTAGGTGTGTTGGGGGCTTCCTGTCCTTCCCACCCACAACCACCTCAAGAACCTTCCCGGGTTCCCTATTACCCTTGGGATAAAATCTTAACAGCCCAGACTCAAGATCTGGCTCTGATTCCATGGCCAGCCTCATTTCTTTAATATGTCGTCTGATGCAATCCGCGAGTCCCTTTCTCATCTCCCAGCCTTTGCCCAGCCTTCCGACCCACGGCTGCTAAGTCCTCTCACGTGCCCTCTTGCTCAGCTAGGAGAGAGCCTGCCTCTCCCAAGCTGGCCAGCGGGGTGGAGCCTGCCCCGGCTGGCCTGGGCCGAGGGCCCTGCCCGGTGCCTTCCCACACAGGCCGGTCGCACGCCAGGGCAGGCCGCGCGGCCCAGAGGCTGGAGGTGGTGCCGCACAGCCGTGGTGGTCCGCTCCCCGCTGCAGGGTGGCTGGGGAAGCGGGGCCCTGAGTGTGGCCATGACCTGCCCAGAGTCACTCAGCAACAAAGCCCACATCTGAGCTCCTACACGTCGAGCGAGCATCGCACTCAAGTTCTCCCCGACTGGTTATCATTGTATAACGATAGCCATTAATACTGATGCCAGTTGGGATGCCTATCACGTCCCAGATCTTGTCAGTCCAAGTCCAGTCCCACTCTTCCGCGTTGTTCCCTGGGCTGGGATCCCCCAGGGGGACCGCCCTGCCTTGTCCACTGTACCCAGCCAGAGCGAAGCCACCCTTCCCAGCGCTGCAGTCAGCTCGCCGGACTCACCCCAGCTCACTCCCCGGGCGGCGTCTGCAGTGTCTGCACCTGCCCCAAAGGGGGCAGGCACTGGTGCCCTCCCCACAGACAGGTGAGGGAGGCCTGGGGCTCTGGGCTGCGTAGGAGCCAACAGGGCTGCCAGGCGCCCATCTGGCCAGGCTGGTGGCCACAGAACAGACCCAGTCCCCACCAGGAAGCAGCCAGTTTAGGCACCTGCCCCCAAGAGAGCGTCCTGACGGGGTAGCTGCCGGGGCTGACAGCGGGGAGAGCCTGGGGCCTGTGGGCACGGCTGGGCGTGTGTACTAGGGACAGGGGAGGGCTACCGGGAGGGAACTGGCCCCTTGGCCTCCTGGGCCACAGGTTGTGTTCTTTTTATTTAGGGCTAAATGAGAACTCAACACCAGTCTGGAAACTTGATAGTAAAAAGAAAAAAACACCTGCTGGGCTCTACGTTTAAATTCTGTTAAACCACTTTGGATGCAGTGCCTTCACGAGCCGGGGTTGGCCTACAGCCTGGGTTCTAGGCAGGCCCGCAGCCCAGGCAACTCTGGGGCCCATGCAGAGCATGGTGCCTGGTGTCTGTCGCCCCGGCTGGCGGCCTGCTGCTCTCAGTCCCACCCCTGCCTGTGGCTGGCTTCCTCCACCTGTTGTCCTGGGCTGGTGTGCTGCTTTGGTCAAAGTTCAAAGGTTTAAGATATAGGGTTGTTTAAGGTAAATATCCCCTGGTTTAGGGGGCAGAAGGCAAAGAGGGATCCCTGACCCGGGCCAAGCCAAGGGGTCCAAACCTCACAGAACCCTTCTCTCCACCTTTAAACATACCTCCAGGCTTTGAGTATGTTAGTCCCTCTAAGTTCTTCTCAAGTCAAACTTGTGCTCACACCTCAAGGCCCAGGTGAAACAGCCCAGCCTCGGAGAGCTGCTCCCGCCAGAGTCAGGGGCTCCGCGGGCTCCTCAGCCCTTGTACAGCCTTCTTGTGACAAACCACGTGCAAAGGCCTGTGCACGACACACCTGGGCCCTGAAAGGGCAGGGAGGCAGGACTGGCTCGTGAGTGCTAGCCCCGGCGGGGCAGGCCAGACTCAGGACACGGGGCGTCACAGCTCCAGGCTCACGTGCTTGCTGGGGCGCTTTGTCCTTGAAACTTCCCTCTGCCAGCCAGAGCTGCGACTCCAGCCCTCCAGGGCCCAGGCCCAGGCAGGCCCTGCGCCCTCTCTGTGATGTGTGTGGCTCTCAGAGTGGCTTAGAGCAGGTCGGCTCCCACCACAGCAAGTGAGGCTCTGGGGCTGGGGAGGCAATGACCCCCACACCTGAGACGAGGCCACTTGTGTGCCATCAGGAAGCTTTGTTCCCAGGCGACTGAGCTGCTCGTGCTGTTGGCTGCGGGACACACCAGTTCGAGTCCCTGGGATGGGAAAGAGGGTGGGCACGCAGGCGGTGCCTCCTGTCCCGTCTGGCCGGCAGCTCCCAGGGGCCACGCGCTTCCCTGCAGGCAGCCTCTGAGCACAGCGACTTCCGGGGCCCTGTCCCTGCAGGTGGCGGTTTCCCCGCCCTTGGCCTGGTGGCTGAGTGAGAGCAGACAGAGCAGCAGCCAGGCCGGTGGGGGGCCAGGAAACAGCACCCAGTGACTCCACACCCGAGCCGCCCGGGCACGGGCGGAAGGCCCGGCTGGTGCTCGCCCCACGCAGCAGCCTGAGGAATGGGTGGCCCCTCTCCTCTGGGTAAGGGGGCAGGCAAGCGTGTGGTCTGTTGAAAAAAGATCTCAACCCCAAGTGACCAAAACTTTGAACACTTTGGTGTTTGAAGGTTATCCTCAGTTACCTGGAAAGTTATTCAAAACAAAGCATTCTCGAATCATATAGGAGGGTCAGGGAGTGAGAAGAGGAGATGAGATGTGGGAAAGGGGAAAGAAGTCCAGGAATTCTAGAAACTTCCATCCTGAGAATTCAAGAATTCTCATATCCGGGACACTTGCCTGTTCCCGCCGCCAGTCTATGCATCGTACTCAGTAAAAGGCAGGTCCCATCCCCTCTCCTGCCTGGTCCAAACTTCCTGCTCTACAGTGAGCAGGGCAGGCCCAGGGCAGCAAGGGCTGGCCATGGCTGGGGGCAACTGTGCTGGAGATGCTGCTGCTGCCCTGGCCCCTGCCCGTGCCAGCCCCTGGCCGGACCGGCGACCACCCCCGTCCGAAGCCAGGAAGGGCTGGGACCACCTGCCGTCCCCTGGGCTCAGCCCCAGGGGCGGCCTCTCTCCCAGCCAGTCTGTCTCCCAGGCTCCCTGGGCCCAACTGTGACTCTGACCGGGAACCTTTGTCCCTTCGTTGGGCCTGGGCTTGGCCTTGGTCATCCTTCGAGGCGCCTGAGAACCCTTAACCAGGGGGTGCCCTCTGGGGACGCTAGACCCTCACCCCAAGCCCAGGGGAGCGGTGAGGCAGCAGGGGAACTGGGCTGAGGACAGATGACACCTGAACTGGGAGGCGTGGCCTGAACGCAGACAGCGCTGCTGGGGGAGCCCTCCTGAGCTGGAGCAGGGGAGTGCAGCCCAGAGAGGGGCTGAGCCTGGGCGGGGCCAAAGGAGGGGGCCCCAGGACAGCGGCGGGCGGTGCCCAGGGCCGGCGTGTGCGGGCGCCCGCCCCCGGGTGTCTGGTGTGGGCAGGTGCGTCTCTCTCTGCCCCGCTGTGACTGGCTGTGTGCGCCCTCTGTGTGTGACCCCCACACCCGCCCACAGGGGTGCGGGGCCAGGCTTGGCCCTGGACTGTGGAGAAGCCCAAAGGACCAAGTTGGGCCTGGTGCTGGTCCTGCGCAGCAGGTTTTTCTGGCTTGGTGGCAGCAGCAACAAACGTGACAATGGCAGCCCAAAGAGGATCAAACAAGGCTGGGGAAGGTTGGGGGCCCCAGGACAGCCCTGGGCAGAGGCCTGGGTGCGAACTGCCCACGGCATGGCCCCCACCAGGCAGGCCCTTCCGCAGCCCCAGCTTTCTCATCTGTGGAGAGGGAGGGAGGGAGGGAGGCGCCTGTACTGCCGCCACCAGGAGATAGACTCGACTGACGGGGCGGGGGCAGGCCGGTGTAGGCAGATGCCTCCCGGGTCTTCGGGCTCAAGGAAGGTGGGTGGAAGGGCAGGCCATGCCTCTGGGGCACAGAGGGTCAGTGGGCGCCAGCCCTGCTGTTCCTTGCTGTGTGATCTTGAACAAGTGACTGCACCTCTCTGAGCTTTGGTTTGTTTTTGTTTTTTCCCCTGTAAACCCTGTCTCTGGCATTACCTCCTCCCTGTCTTTGCAGGCATGGAGTTGTGTCCCCGCCTTCTTTCCTGCTTCATTTTCCCAAGAGCCTTTACCATCTTCCAAGATTTTGTATAATTTACTAGACATTCACTGTCTGTCATGCCAGTAGAACACAAGGGCCTAAAGAACAGGGAGCTTTGTCCTGTTTGTGGCTGAATCCCAAGCACCTGGAACAGAGCCTGGTGCATAGCAGGTGCTCAGTGACCAGAGGGGGAGAGCAAACACCGGCATTGACCCCAGGTAATCTCTAGCTTGACAGGAAGCAAAGCACCTCACTGGGGGAACAAACCGTCCTTTACAACAGAGGACTGCACAGTGAATCGAAGTGATCGAATTGAATCACTTCCATTTTTTTTTCCCCCTCGGACTGAAGTGAGGGGCAAAAGGTGCACACAGTGCAGGCCTGGCCCCGGGCCCGCTCAGGGGCTCCTGGGGGGTGGGGAAGCCCTCCGGAAACTTGTACAGGCCTGCCAGCTGCGGCCCCGTGGCTCCGTGAGGCCATAAGCCCCCTTCTGACAGCTTTATGGGGCTTGGCGCGAGCTTACAGGAGATGCCAGGCACAGCGGGCAGCGGGGGAGTCCCCAGGGGCCAGCCAGCGAGGTGGAAGTGCATAGCCGTCACCCTTCTGGATGGCCCTCAGGTTCCTGTCTCCATGTTACAGAGGGGACATTACAGTCGAGAGGGGACGGGGGCCCAGGGGCTACACAGCAGGTGCAGAGCAAAGCCAGGACGAGCACCGGCTCCCTCCACCTGACGCCCCTGCCCAGGGCCAGGAGGCACGGAGGCCCTGGGAGGGTTCACACAGTGACGACTGCCCTCACTGGCACTCCCTCAGCACTTACTCCGTGCTAGGGGTCACACCCTACACAGGCGTCCGTTTCCCCGACAAGACACTAGCTCGGTGGTGACTTTCCCAGGGCTACATAGCCAGGAGGCATCGGAGCTGAGATGCTTGCTCAGGGGCCCACACTCCTGGCCACGCAGGTTCTCTGAGTCTCAGCTTGCTAGTCCGATCGCTGCCCAGTCGTCCCCCAAGGGCCACTGAGGGGCCCCCAGGAGAGACGGCGGGGCCCTGGCCCAGCTGGGCCGATAAAGCGGGGAGGGAACCACCCGGTGGCGCTGTGCACACACCGGCCAGCGGGGCCCAGAGGCTCCAGCCGGTTCCAGCCCTGGGGGTCTGGCCCTGGAGGAAGCCCTGGGGGAGGAGCCGAGAGGCACGTGCCAGGATGTCTCTGAGGGACGCTCCTGGACCCCATCCCCGGACCACGGGGCGCAGGCTCCCCTGCTCGAGGACGGCTCCCTAGGGCAGCCCATCTCCCTCCTGGGCAAACCCGCCCCCCACCGGCCGCCTCTGGGCCTTTGCACAGGCTCTCCCCGCTTTGTGCTCCAGACTCCTACCCAGGCTTCAGGGTCCAGTCCAGGTGTCACCTCCCTCACTGTGTCCCCAAGTGTTCCTTACTCATTCACTCATCACGAAACCCTGGGCCCGGCCGTGCCTGTGTCCCCACCACCGTCCTTGGGCAACTCCACTCCCTGTGCTGCCCCCCTTGCTTGATACACGATAAATAGGTGGAGAGATTTGGGTCTGAACCTGTGCGCCTGTGTGGGCTTGGCTGCATTTACAGAGAAGTGCCAGGAGGGGGCAGTGCAGGAAGCACTAAGGGGGAAGTTCAGGTGCCTGGGTTTGCCAGCAGAGAGAGAGTGAGTGGGGCGCTGGGGATGGCCACCACTGGCCCTCAGCTCTGGCTCCAGAGGCGGGTCCAGTGACGCCCCTGTGCCGCTGCTTTGCTGGGCGGCCTTGGGCTATGGAGCTGATTCCAGGAGCCATTCACAGCCTGCGTGGCCCAGCTCATAGGCACTATTCCGAGGAGAGGAGCTGGACAGCCAGCGCGAGGAGAGCGATGCTGTCCTGCTTTTGCAGGGAACCAGGTGGGGAGTGGCGGTTGGGCCTGCGCAGAGGGGAGGTGACAGGGGCTCTCCAGGTGCCCACAGCCCTCAGGGAGGGAAGAACACACAGCACCCCCTGCTGCCCCCCCGCCCCATCTATAGGGCTTCCATTTCCTCAAAGAGGGTCGGAGCCTTTCCTGCCCCTCAGGATAACTGGCCATTCCCGGGGGAAGGGGAGTAAGGAAAGCCGACGGCTGGTTGACACGGCGTGGAGGGGAGCACGCTAAGCATAGTGGTCCCCAACCTGGTGCCAGACGCGGGGGGTGGGGGGCAGTGGCCTCCCAGGGTCCCGGCGTGCTGGTCGGATACCCCCAGGAGCTCCTTATGGACACAGACAGCAGGCCCCGCAAAAGCCACAGAGCTCACGGCAGGGCCTGCGGGAGCCGGGAGGTGCCAGCCTGGGCCACCTTTCTGCGAAAAGGAGCCGCGCGTGCTGAGGACACCACGAGTGCCCCCCAGCCACGCCTGTCCTCCTCTGCTTCACTGGCCCCCGTGACGCCCGCACCCCCGCCCCAGCCCCAGAGGAATCCTGTTTTGTCTGTCCCTTGGGCACTCCTCGAGCCAGACAAACACTGGTGGCTGCCAGTGATGGTGTGGCCTCAAGCCGCTGGCATGAGCCACACCATCACTGGCAGCCACCGCCGCCACCAGAGGTCACGCTGCCGAGCTCCAGGACGCGCCACTCGCCCTTCCTCCCAGCGCAGCCTGGCCTCCCCGAGCCGGCGCCTCAGGACAGTTGGCGCTGGCACAGCAGCAGTGGCTCTCCGTGCGGCCCGGGCGCCCAGGGCCCTCAGCAGGCCTGATGGCCGCTACTGCCCGTGGTCCCCTCTTCGCAGGCGAACGCCTCCTCTCCAGCCCAGACGCGTTCTGTCCCCCAGCTCCTGCCACGGTCGCTGCTGCCACCACCTCTCCTTGGCTCCTCGCCCGCGCCCCGCACCCCTGCTGCTCCTCCCAGCAGCCAGGGCCTTGGCCGAAAAAGGGAAGCTGATCACATCTGCTGCCCAAAACCCTCCTGGGGCTCCCTGCTGGCTGAGATGGGCAAGGCCTCCTTGTCAGGATCTGTCCTGACAAGGGGCCCATGTCTTTGACTGCAGCCCCGCGCCCTGTCCCCGTGAGCCCTCTGCTCCGGCCAGGCCCCCGCCTGCGGGTTCTGAGCGTCCCGAGCACCTTCCCACCTCAAGGCCCCGCATCGGCTGCTCCCGTCTGCAAGCCCCTCCTCCTGGGCCCTCCTTCCTGGGGACCTGGACAGCCTCCACCTCCAGCTCCGACGAATGCCACTTCCTCAGACAGGCTGTCCCTGAAACCATTTCTTTTCTCTCCACTGTCTGGCATACACCCCTAAGGGCAGCCACGCTGGCCTTCTCATTGGCCTTTCCACAGTCCCCAGGGAGCCTGGCACGCAGCACGTCACTGCATGGACGTCCCAGGGATTCAGGCGCCTCATCCTGCTGGCCCAGCGACAGGGGCAGAGATCGCCACCACCAAGCGTGCCCCTCTGGGAGAGCGATTGCTTTAAGCTGGCTATTTTTAAGAAATAAAGGACTTGGGGAGCCTTTGACATTCCCTTGAACTGCTTAAAAGAACTTAGAGAACCTGGCCCAGGAAGTGGGCTACCGCCACAGACAGCTATGGTTTCACACGAACAGACATGACAGACAGAGCCCCGTAACCAAGCCTCTCTGTGCCCCGTGGTCGAAGCCGGCCCAGCAAACATCTGGTTCCTGAATGTCTGGGTTTCCATCCCTACATGGATGGCCTTCCTGGTCCCCGAAGTCCCAGCCGCAGCCTTCCTTCCTCCTCAAGTCGTGGGGCCTGGGGGCCTTCGCCGCCCAGTGCGTCCCCAGGCCCGTGTTCTTGCCGGCCGTGTGCACAGGTGATTAAATGTGCTGCTCGTCCCCCGCTGGTCTGTCTCGTGCCATTTTAACTATTTGATGAGCCAGAATGACTCAGGGGGTCAGAGGGGACTCTCCCCCTTCACACAGACGCTGGGACTGGGAAGGACAGAGCCCCCGGGGCCTGACCCCTTCACCTCCACTCCTGCGCCTGCTCCTAACTCCTGGCCTGGTTCCCCCATCGCCACATGGCCGCTGGGCCAGCCCGTGCTGCCCGGAGGCGGCCACCCCACGCTGAGGAGCTGCCCCGTCACCAGGGCGGACCCTGCCGCGGCCGTCCTGCCCCGGCCCAGGCGCTGCTCTGATCGCTGTCCACACGCTGACTCGCCCTCCGCGCCCCCTCGTAGCAGCCCCTGTGCCCTGTGAGGGCAGGCTCAGGGCCGTCAGGCAGCGAGCCCACGCTGCACACCAGGGGGCGGCAGAGCCGAGGCCGAGCCCTGCAGCCGGGCCCGGGGCCCATCCTCCCGCCTGGCCTGTGTCGCGGTGAAGTGGGACCCTGCCAGAGGTGCACTCTGAAAACCTGCCCCAGGACCTTTGTTCCTCCTGTCCCCAGTCCCTGGGTATAGCTAAACCGCTGGCATCCTCCTTCCTCTCTGATGATGAATCTTTTCTTTTTCTCTTTCAGTCTTTTTTTTTTTTTTAAATGATGCATCTTTGATAGCTCCTTACTGGTCCTAGAATAACGTTCAGACCCCCCAGCCTGGCACCTGAGGCCTGGCACTCAGCCCAAACCCGCTTTTCAGGCACACCCTTACTGCTCTGGGCCACTCCCTGGGGGCGTGTCCTCCCCTCACCCCCAGGTGGTCACCTGCTTCCAGGCATTTGCTGGGGCTCCTCCTCTCTGGGATGCAGTTCCCACGGCCTCAACCTGTGAGCCCGGTTGCAGGCTTGGAGGCTCAGCTCAGCGGCGGCCGCCCCGCCCCCGCCCCTGCCGTGGCCACCACTCACTTCACAGAGATGGAGAACTCCCCCGGGGAGCTCTCGCTCTCCCGGATCAGAAAGGCTCCCAGGAAGTTCCGCTTCATCAGAATCTCTTCGGCCAGCTGCCGGGAAATCCTGCCCGAGTACCACCTGCGGGGAGAGGGGACGGGTGAAGGCAGTGCAGTGGCAGGGCCGCCTTCTCTGCCCAGATGCTCAGCATCGGTGATCCTCACAACCGTCGTAACGCCGGAGCAGGATCGCCCATCTTACAGACCAGGGGCCTGAAGCACAGAGAGGCGAAGCGACGAGCCCGAGGCCACGCGCTGCGGCAGGCGGCAGGCGGCAGGCGGCAGGCGGGAGCGGGACCCAACCCCAGCATTTTGGCTCCAGGGCCCGATCCCTTCCCACCGTGCCAGGCAAAGCTGCACCTTTAGGAAAACAGAAATAGCAAACAAGCCTCAGGCAGCTCCCACCCAGACAACCCCAGCTGAGCATTTCTGTCTCAAATGATAGAGGCCTAAAAGTAGAGAAAAAAAACAAAACAAAAAACGATGACAAAAACAATAGCAGCTTTGATCTGCCTATGAAGGAGCTCACCCTGTACCCATTTCACAGAGGCACAGGCGGAGGCCACTGGGACTTTTTCTCACAGGCACAAGTCCCTTTTCCTGCTGACTGAACAGAACCGGGTACGCAGAGGGTAGCTGATGAACGCTGAGAGTCTTGCAAGGCCGCCACCACCCCAGAGCCTGGGAGCGGGGGGCTGGGGTCCTGCTCCTCTTTCAGCCCGGCCGCCCTGGCGGCGGGGCCCCCGGCAGCTCCTCGCCCCGACCACAGCCCTGCTTATTTGGGCCTTGCCCGCCCTTGAAGGACCCAGGGGTCTCTGACCAGCTCCTCAGCCCCAGGGTTTCAGCCGGGGGGCGGGTGGGGGGATCTAATGCCCAGAGCAGCCAACGTCTCATGGCAGGACCAGGACCAACGAAGGGCAGGCCTTGCTCCTCCATTCCCTTCCATGTTTCCCTTTCCTGTTTCCCTTCCTTCTTTCAGCAAATGTTTAATGAATCTTTTCCTTGGCCCCCAGGGGCAGGCGTGAGGTGGGACGTTTTCTGTTGTCTCAGGATGGGGACACGCCCTCGAGCTGAGAGCAGAGGACATCAGGGGCAGTGGCTGGCGGTGTCCTGCCCACCCCCACCCCGACGCGTGCCCCTTGTGGCCCCTGTCAAGGCAAACACTGGGGACCCTGCCTGAGGGCTGTTTTTGGTGACTAACATGCTTGGCCCTTGTGCTGGGCCCCTGGCACAGTCTCAGGTGATGACTGAAGGAGCCGCGGCGGATTAACAGCCCCCAGCCCGCGTACTCTGGGCAGCAGCGCAGCCTGGTCTCTGGCACTCCCTGCCGGCTCCTTCCCTGCCCCCTTCCCGCTCCCAGATAAAGCCCTGCCCCCCCTCCCCCGCAGGGCAGGCCTCAGGCTCTGCTTCAGGGGCCCACTCCCCCAGAGGCGAGGTTCCAGCCAAAGGCTGCCCCACTCCGGTGGGGGCCCGGGGCCCATCTCGCGGGGGTGGCCCCAGGAGGCGGTGGCGGCAGTGAAGGGGGTTGCTGAGTGTGGGGAACCAAGGCAGCCTCCGGGAGAGCTGGCCAGGGGACGTGGCTGCCGCGGAGGCCGGGTCCCGGGGCCTGGGAGGGGTCGCCTGTGCCCGGTGCGCGGGGCTCAGTGCAGGGCCTGCTGTGGGCGGTTCCCGAGGGCCTGCATGTCTCCAAAGAACCCACAAAACCCCACAGGAGGCATCAGCGTGTGGGTGGCTGTCACCCTGAAAGGCTGTTGCAACTGCACCCTCTAAGGGAGCCGCCCTGCCCCCACCAGGGGGAGACAGGGCCGTGGCCATGGGGGCCTCCCCTGGTGCCGGGGAGGCCAGCGTCCCTGCCGCCCACCCAGCCCAGTGCCCTCCTTCCAGCGCCACTGCACTGGAGGCCACCAGCCCAGTCCCCCCTTTCACTGATGCGGAAACCGAGGCTCAGAGAGGGTTGGGATCCCTGAAAGGTTGCCCAGCACGTCCCTGACCTCAGACTCTCCCCCAATACAGCTGCTCTTCAGGGATCCCCCACTGCCCTGCCCGGTGAGCACAGCCCAGGGCCCAGAGCACTGGCTGCAAATCCCCCTCCGCCTTCTGCCAGCCATGTGGCCCTGGACGGGCCACCCCACCCCCATCTCCTTGTCCCTCGTGGCCCGCAGCAGGAGGATGAGGGCGCTGTTGCATGCAGTGTTTCCACTGCAGCCAGCCTGAGGGGGTTCCCAGCCGCCTCCGCACCTCTGGTTGGGCCTGTCTGCTACCCCCGGGCAAACTTCTGCTCCAACATGCAGGCGGCAGAGCGTGCCCTCCCCCGGGCACTCCTCCTTGACCCCCACGGGCCAGCCCTGTGTCTGGGGTCCCTGCCTCCCTGCCTCCCCCAGGGCTCCCTGGGCAGGCGGGGGTGACAGTGGGTGCTCGCGGAAAGAGTGGGCCTGGCGGAGGCCCAAGGCTTTTTGAAAACTCAGCCCCCTTCCCACCCCCGCAGCCCTGCACCCCCACACCCTCCCCACACCCTCCCCACAGCCTGGGGCCTGATGGGTGGAGCCAGGTGCTGAGCTGGAATTTCCCCTCCGCTATTTTGGGGCCAGGGCAAGTACGCAGGTTAGCCAAGGACCAACGCGGGCATGGCCTTGGGTGGGGTCGGGACCCTGACCCCCATTCCCACTCTGTCCCGGACGCAAGCGGTCAGAGCTGACCCCAGGGGCCCAGGGGCATTGCGGACTGGCACCCTCCACGGCCCCTGCCGGCCCGGCCCACTCTCGCCTCCGCCCCAGCATCGCCCCGACAGGCCCGGCCCAGTGCCACGGTTTTGGCGGCCCTTCTCCCCTCTGCTCAGGGCTTCTCAGCCGCTGTGGGCCTCCCAGGCTCCTGGTCTTGGCCCGGTCACTGCTCTCTCCTGGTTCCCCCCACCCCGCCAGCTGGCCTTCCCCCAGGGACAGCTCCTGCCTGTCCTCCGCTGGCCTGCGGATGCCCGGCAGCTGGGCCGTGGCCTGTGGCCCTGGGCTGGGTTCTCACCCTCTCTTCCCGCCCTTGTGCTTTCCCTTTAGTGACAGAAAGACTGTGAGGCCAGGGGACAGGCCCTGCCCAACGTCGCAAAGCCCAGAGGGACACTGCAGAGCCTGGAAACAAGTGCTGTGGCCCAGGATGCCAGCCAGAGGCCGCAGCCTCCGTGGGGGCGGGGGGCAGGCTGAGGGCCTGGAGCCCAGGCAGAGCAGCTGCCCAGCACCTGAAGCGGGAGGCCGAGGCCGGCAGCTTCAAAAACAACTCGAAGACAGATAAAGAGGAAGCGCCCTCAGGCCCTGTCCTGGCCCTGACTTCCCTCCCTTTCCCCCACAGCTACACACACACCAGGGCTCCCCGTCTGCCCCGCAGCCTGCCCGGCCTGCTCAGTGCCTCCACAGCTGCCTGACTCCCTCCCCTGCTTAGAAGCCTCCACGGCTCCCACCACCCCCGGCCTGGTGTTTGAGGCCCTTCTGCCAGTCCCACGGCCATGGGCCCTCCCTCATCGCTTTCCCTGCCCAGCAACGTCTTCCTCTTGTTCTCCTTAGCTAACTCCTACACATTCTTCAAAACCCCGCTCACCGCCACCTCCTCCGAGAAGCCTTCCTCCGTGAGGTGCCTCAGTGCCGCCTGCCTTCCCAGGCTGTACTCCCTTTATGTCCTGTCTCTTCCACCCCAGCCTCTCACTTGTGTCCCCAGAAGGTCCTGGCCAGTGCCCTCAGGCCGTGGCTAGCGTGCGGTGAGTGACTGAGGGAGCGGCTGTATTTTGAGGCTGCCTCAGCCGTCATTTCAAGCAAACGAGGTGGGTTTTCTGTTGACTCTTGGCCCCTTAGACCCACCATTTTCGGGGCAGCAGCTTTGGATGCCACCCACCGACACCTGGCTGGTGGCTTCCCTGGGCCAGCAGGCCCCAGGCCCTGGGTACCTGGGCCGCACACGTCACTCTGCCCTGATCCCAGATTCTGCCTGACCAATGTCCAGCTCTCCCTCATGCCCTGAAGGCAGAGCCCACAGAGTCTGCTTCCCGCTCGCCCCTGCGCCCCTACGTTGCCACCCTGACTCCCCACCTTCACACAGGGCCGAACTGGCCTCTTAGAGAGCCCTGGACTCCCCCGGAGATGGGGGCCTCAGGCCTCCTTGCCCTGTGGAGGGGGGCCCGAGGAACAGGGAGAGCGGGACCTGCCCAAGGCCACAGAGCAGCTGGCGGCCCAGCCAGCTGCGAGCCCAGGGCCGTCCTGCCTGGCGCCTCCTGGATGTCCTCTGGTGTTCCAGGTCCTCGGTGCCGCGGCCGGGCTGGCCCTGACCCTGCTGCCACTTTAGATAGGCCCTCGCATCTCCCTGCCCTGTCCCCAGCCTGGAGGAGAGCCTGGGGCCCCGGGTGGACGGACAGGGGCTGGGAAGGAGGAGATTTCATGCCTAAGGGATACACCAGGCAGCAGCCAGCGGGGGCATTCTACTGCGCGGGGCGGGGGTGGGGGGGCCCTGGGGTCACAGGCTGGGGCGATGGCCACTCACGGGTGGGGCTTGACGCGGATGTAGTTCTTGGGGATGAACCCCTCGGCGCCCCGGAGCTCAGCCTTGTACCAGTTCTGGTCGTCTTCCATGTTCAGGATCTGCAGGCAGGAGAGACACAGGCACTCGGTCACCCAGGGGGACAGCTGTCACCTGCCGAGGGGTTTGCTGCTCAAGTGCCCCGAGGCTTCACCCACCCAGCTAGCCCCGGGGCCTGCTTGCAGAGCAGGGCTGGGGACCGGCGCGAGGTCACAGGCCATGCCTGGTTCCACAGCCCTTCCTGCTCATCCCCCAGCCCCACGATAACCTGTCCCCAGGGCCCACGGCTTCCCCATGGGGCTGGAGCCAGCTCTCGGGATCCCTCACAGACTGTGGGGGTCTTGGGGGCAAGCCTGGGGTGCCTCTCTTCCTGAGCTGTGCCCCCGAGCTCGGGGGTCCGCAGCATTGCACACCAGGCAGAGCCGGGCAGCTCAGGCTGGGGTCTCCAAGGAGCCCAGGGAGCCCAGGGAGCCCCAGTCTGAGCTCGGTGCCCAGCGGTGGTCACCTTGAGGCACTTGCATTTAAACAGCCCTTCCAGTCTGAATCCAGGGGCGACCATGCAGCAGGAGGTGGTGGCGCTCAGGCACCGGGGAGCAGGCGAGGGAGACCGTGGGCAGGGCCAAGGTTGAGCCGGGCCTGCTCGGGTCACAAGGCCCCTTGTCCATGGTGTGAGACACCTGTGGTCCCACAGGTGAGCCCAGAGGAACAGAAACAGCCCGGGTGGGGGTGGCGGTCGCCTCTGCAAGCCGTCCAGTGGCTGTGGGAGGGGGCAGGCAGGCCTGCAGTGCGGGTACAGCACAAAACTGGGGCTCCCCCCACCTCCCCTGGGCAGGTTGCCCATGCAGCGCCTCGGCTCTCGCACAGGCCTCTGAGGCCACGATCATCGAAGGCTGCAAACCCAGAGGGGAGTGGGCCAGGCCAGCAGCGAGCCTGAACCCTGGGCGCCGGTGGCTCGGGCTGAGCCTGCCGAAGGGCCCCGACCTCCCACTGTGTCTCTGGACCCTTTGTCTCTACTGGGAGTCCTGCAGCAGGTCCTGGCTCCGTGCTGGGGCGATGCTGGCCGAGAGAAAATATTGGAGGCAGAACAGCACCCCACGGAGGGTGCACTGCGAGAGCCGAGGCGGGGGCAGGCCGGGGACAGGCTGACACGTGGGCGGCTGCTCAGGCAGCTTGGTTGTGCCAAGAGGCACTGGGGTCGCTTCCTCGGGCCCATGCTGAGCCCGACCAGCGCAGGCAGGCACCCCCATCTGTCCGCCAGGCCCCGCTGAGTCCCTTCCTTCCTGCCCTTACAGCCAGGGCAGGGTCAGCAGCCGCAGGGACAGACGGAAGCAGGTGGCTGACTCAGGAAAACCTTTGCTCAAAACAAAACAAAACAAAAAAAAACCCCAACAAAACAATTCTCCCAATTTATTAGAAAACTAAAGCCTGTGGGCCTCCCTCCAAAGCCACAGATTCAGGAAAGGAGCCCTGGAGCCCAGGGCTCTAGACCGCTCTCTCTGGCCTGGCTCTCGAGAGCCTCGGCCTGTTGCGTCACCTGTGGAACGGGCACACATGGGGCCGGCGCTGCACGGGGCAGTGTCCTGTGACTGCGGAGTCCTGTGTGGGTGTGCGTGTGTAATATATCCGGTCTAATCCCTGTTTTGTCGTATGTTGTTCTGTTTTCCCATTGTCTTCACTCCGAGGACCCAGAAATGTCCTCGTTGTTTCTATCAGCTGAATTCTTACCGTTAAGGTGGCTCGCAAGCCCAGGGCCCTCTGAGCTGTGGGCACTTCCACAAAACAGGGAGAGCTGCTCCTCCCTGGGGAAACCCCGGCCTCCGCCCCCGCCCGCCCTCCGCCCAGGGCACTGTGCTCCCGCACTGTGCCCTGGGCAACACAAGTGCTCCGCTGCTGTTCACTGAGCACCTACTGTGCGCCCGGAGCCGTGCTCAGCTCTGGCAATATAGCAGGGAACATGGGGCTTCCATCCTTAGGGGCGCAGGTAACAGCAAAAAAGGAAGAAAACAAGGCCGCAAGGTAACAGTGTTGTGGCGGGCGGTCTGAAAAACCCATGACAGGATAGCGCCAGCAGAGGAGGTCTGGTTGGGGGAGGGAGGTTTGCAACAGGGGTCAGATGGGTTGGTCAAGAAACACCTCTCTGAGGAGGGATGCAGAGGCTGGTTCACAGACACAGACGAGAGACGAGAGACGGTGCCAGGGCCACTCCTCCAGGCCACGAGGGGGAGGGGACAACCAGAGCGAGAGAAGGCCCTGCGGTGGCAGCAAGCGCTGTCGGGAAGGAGGCAAGGGCGGCAGGAGCCAGGCAGGAGGGGCAGCCAGAGGAGGTGGCGGGGAGGCGGGCAGGACAGGCAGGGCGGGAGTGTGTATGTCTTGTTCTCCCGGGGATGCAGTTCAGATTTTGTTTTTAAAGCCAAGAAGAGTCTCTGGGGGCCATCGGGGGAGGCCAAGCTCTGAGTGATGGCTGCTGGGTGGGGACGAGGCTGGGGCAGGGAGGAGCCTCTCGCCAGCCCGGCCGAGGGTGGCCGCTGGGAGCCGTGGCCCAAGGGGAGCTGAGAGGCTGGCAGAGGGGCTGATGGGCCCCGCGAGAGGGTGTGTGTACAATGAAGAGGCAGCAGCGGAGAGGACTCCGCGCCCTGCGCCTGAGGCGGGCAGCCCGTGGTGACCGGGAGCGGCCGCGGGAGGCCCTGCTCGGGGTGGCCTGTGCCGGGTCTGAGGGCCCATTAGCCTTCCCCATGGAGACGCCAAGGCGGCGTGGGCTCCCCGAGTCTGGGCCTTGGGGACCAGGTTGTCCATGGAGAGATGAAGCCATCACCCGCATCCCTCCTCCAGCCTGGAGCTGCAAGGTCCTGGGCCCCGAAATGCCTGGCAATCAGCAAGCGGGTCTTTGTTTTGGGGAGGTGATGTCTGGGGACATTTGCCCTGAGTGGGTCAACGTGCCACCGAGTTTTCCTCCGAGACCAGGGCTCAGGTTTGTTCACTGAGGCTCCTGGAGGCTGGGAGGCCCGGTGTCACCGCCATGCCAGGGCCTGGCCCACGGCAGCACCCAGGGAAGGGACAGGACGTGAGGTCAGGCCATACCCCTGCGGTGCCTGAACAGAGCTGGCCCTCGGACCCACGCACAGGAGCCCCGGCCCAGGAGCGGAGGAGGGGCCACAGGCACAGCTTTGTAGTTACGGAAAGCGGGCCCCAGACTATGTGGGTGGGCGAGGCACCTTGGGAACAAAATTTAAGGGAGCCCCAAAAAACTCAGGAATCAAGATCATATTTTAAGACAGTATGTTAAAAAATAAACATTAATGCATAAACTCTGAATATGGTCATTAGCTAATAATTATGGCTCAATACAGACGCTTAATGTGGCAAATGTACCAGCCACTCATGGAAGAGGCCCCCACGGCAGGAGCTGAGTGTAGGAGACGGGTGTCCCTCAGCGCTATCTTCTTGATTCTTCTGTAAATCTAAAACTGTTCTAAAAAGCAAAGTCTACTGAAAAATGAATACAAGAGAGGTCCATCCAAGTCTGCCCTAAAGGCGGGATGTGGCCTCGCACCTGCCGAGCCCTGGAGCGGGACCCTGGCACCCGACGGCCACCCTCCAGGGCCGACAGCTCTCAGGTTGTCGGGAGGTTTCTTTCCCGGCTTTTTTCCACGCGCAACCCAGCGTACAAGGGTCAGTTTTCCCTCCACAAAATCAGTATCTATTTTTTGTCTGTCCAGTGTTGACTCATTCTGTCTAATACCTTCACATTCTGCTTTGCACTCTCCCCAAATTGCATTTTTAGGGCTGTGTCATATTTTGTGCCATCGCCGAACAGGTAGTCAAGGTTGCTGCTACGCAGCCAGTCGTCACCAACATCCCCCATTCCCCGCACGCTTCATTTTCCTCTGCGTACTGTTTCCAGCTGACAAACTCTACATTTTCCTTGTTTATCTGGCTTGTGGCCCAAGTGACTGTGTGTTTTCTCCCCACTGAGCCTTTGCGACCAGGATGCGGACGCACTGCCTGCCTCCTGAGTCCTTCCTGGGAGGACACACACATCTCGGGTTATGTCTCTGCCCCTCCGCCTCCTTTCTAAGACACCCCTGGCGAAGCCCCGCAGTGGGCGCAGCTCCCGTTCACAGTGAGATCCAGACCCTGCGCAGTCCTGCCTCCTGCTCCCCCCCACCCCCGCCTCATCCTCCCCTCCTCCCCTCACTCACGCTCTTCAGCCACAGACCTTCCTCTCAACGCTCACGCCTGTGCGCAGCTCCCGCCCCTGGGCCTTGCACCAGCTGTCCCAGCCCAGAGCTCTGCTGTCTGCGGGGCCACCCTGCGCATCCCTCAGGGGTGCTATCTTTTGAGAGGCTACCCACTGGTCACTGTGTGTCCCATCCCCCTGTGTTGTTTCTTCAACCTGCTTAGTGCCCCCTGACGCCGTGTACCCCCTGGAACGTCGGCTCCAGGAGGGCAAGGGTTCTGCCTCGTTGTTGCTGTGCCGTCGGCTCGCAGACCAGTGCCTGTGCACAGTGGGAGCTCAGTGCTCCACAGGGGACAGTCTGGTGGCTACCAGAGGCCGGGGCGGGGGGCGGGCGAAGCGGGCCAGAGGGTACAAGTCCCAGTTGTAAGAACACTTCTGGAGATGGCATGGCCACGACAGGTGATCGTTCTGCATTGTCTGTCTGAAAGCTGCTGAGAGAGTCGGTCCCAAAAGTCGCCATCAAGAGAAAAAGTGTAACTGTGAGGTGACAGATGTTAACTAAACTAATTGTGGAGATCATTTCACAGACATATGTCAAAGCATTGAGACATACTCCTTAAGCACGTGTGATCTTATATGTCGATTGTTTCTCAACAAAACCAGAAAAAATGTCTCCACAAGTGCTTGTTGAATAAACGAGGGGAAAGACAGCCCCTCTCACTGCCTTCATTCCTCCATCAGTTTTGAGCTTGAAAGCCCCCCGCCCCCGCCACCGGTCTCCACCCTCATGAGGAGCCAGTCCCACTGGGCGGGCGCCCCGGCTTCTGCTAACAGCTCAGTTCTCCTTTCCTTCCCCTGCCGCCCTCCTCCCGCCTTCCTTCACGTTTCACTTGTCTTCTTGAAAGCCTGCTATGTGCTGGCACTCTTTTATGTCCTGCGGTTCTAGCAGGATCCCCGGGCCCAGTAGCTCAGTTGGTTGGAGCATCGTCCCAATACACCAAGGTTGCGGGTTCGATCTCCAGTCACGGCACATACAAGAAGCAACCAATGAATGTATCAATAAGTGGAAAAACAAATCTATGTCTCTCTCTCTCTAATCAGTGAAAAAAAGCGAACACTCCCGGAACTGGCTAACACTTCAGCAAAGGTTAGCGGGAAACGACAAAGACTAATCTTGGGGTGGGAAAGGTGGGTGGGGCCAGGAGCCTGGAAGGGCCGTGGGGGCGTTACAGTCTTTACAGTTGCCGTGGGGAGCCCCACGGGCCCCCTCCCACCGCTGGCTGATCACTCTGAGCCCCAGTTGGAGCCTGTCGCTCACCCTCCCCCCATTCCCGTCTCCTCACTGTTCCACTCCCTCCCAAGCCTCGGGTCTGGGTTTAGAGACGCCAAACTCTCTCAAGTGGCCAGACTCGGTGGCCAAGTCCTCTGAACCAGGCTCGGCTGTCACAGACGGTGCCTGGCCCTTCCTGGTGCCAGGCATGCCCTCATCTCCATCTGGCCCCAGGCCCACGGGGCTCCATGGCACTGGCCCAGGGCCGCCCAGGTACCGGCATCCTGGCAGAGAGAAGCAGGGTGGCCCCTCAAGGGCACATGTTTTTTTTCGGGGAAATGTCAACCTCCCCAACCCCCAGCCCAGTCCTTTCAGCCTCACTGGAGACAGAACAGTTTCCAGACTCAAAGGACAAAAAGGTCAAAGGACCCCATACTAAACAAGTCACGTCACCTCCCTGTGCCCCGGGTTAGTCACCTATGAAAATGGGGATGCCAGTCCTCGTCATTTCAGTAGCTTCAGCGGGACGCGGGTACCTTGCTGAGCTTGGGATTGGATACAGCAGGGTGCCAGCGAAGGGGAGTTCCTGTCCTTTCCTGTGCTTGACGCTTTGGGCCACATGCAGGTCCCAGGGCCCAGAGTGGAAGTGAGACAGGACAGCAAGAATCCAGGAAAATTCCTTGGCCAGTGGACTAGGGAAACTGAGACAGAGCTGAATACAGTGGCCGAGCCATGTACAGCCAGCTGTGACGGTCACCTTCCTGGAGATGACATCCAGGCCTCAGCTGTGTTTCAGCTCCAGGTCCAGAAAAGCAGCAAAACCGGGTGGGTGACACCAGGCCAACTGCAGTGACGGAAGACCCCCTGCCCCGTCGCTGGCCCATCAGTGGAGACCAGGACCCTGAGATCTCGGTCCCACCTGGGGAACTGACGATTGTTCCACTGAGACCCTCCCCCGAGCCCTCCCCGAAGGTTCCCGCCTGCAGGAGAGAGCTAAGCCCTGACAGTGTGGCTCAGCGGGCTGGGGGTTGTCCTGCAAAGTGAACACTCACTGGTTCAGTTCCCAGTCAGGACACACGCCTGGGTGGCAGGTTCGGCGCCTGGTTGGGATGCATACAACAGGCACTGAGGTTTCTCTCTCTCTTTTTCTCCCTCCCTGCCCCTCTCTCTAAAAATAAAATCTTAAAAGGTCTCCCAAACTTTAAGGCAGTGGGCAGCGGGCAGCCCGACCCAGGCTGACCCCCTGACCCTGTCCCCAAGGCCCCCTCTGCTCTGGCCTCTCAGTGAGCTCGGGCAGCCCCCCGGGCGCGCCTGTTGCTTCTCTGTGCTGAGCCCTCCCTGGTGGCAGCCCCCCGCTGTCATAAACGTACCCCCACAGTCACCTGGACTGGTATTGTGACATCTTTCCCACACACAGTCAAGAGCCCACGCGCTGCGGTGGGCCCTCGGCAGGCCCGCCCCGGGCCGGTCCCCTTTGCGGGAAGAGCGGGACCTCTCGTCAGAGGCCCACTGCTCCCGTGGGGACTCAGGCCCAGGAAGCGGGGCTTTCTCAGCCAGCGGCAGCTCCGGTGCCCGAGCCTTGGCTGGGCCACTCCTGCTCCCGGCCCCAGAGCAAGCTTGCAGGCCAAGACATTTCCGGGGAGAGAGACCCCCCCGCCAGGCCCTTCTGCCCGGCGGCCCGTGGCGGGCTGCAGCGCTCATACGAAGGCCTGGACAGGCAGACAGAAGCGGTGGAAGGACGGACTCTCCCCTTTTCTCCATTCTACTGGGAAGTTCATTCCTGACCTTTAAATCACAGCTATTTTTACCCCAAAATGTTAATGTTGGCACTTTTTACTTTACTGAGAACTTCCTCTTTCCTCCTTGTCTCCCTCCCTCTACTCTTCTCTCTCTGTCTCTGTCTCTCTCTCTAACTTCAGCAACTGTCTTCTCAAATTCATCCCTGGAAAACTGGGCGTTGAGTGTTGAACCACCTCCTGCCAGGCGCTGTGCTCGTGTCTCCTCGAATCCTCACACAGACCCCCTTAAAGGAGGGACCATGAAAGACCTCCCCATTTCCTAGAGGGGAAACTGAGGCTCGGAGGGACGAGGAGGCTTGTCCTGAGTCACACAGCTGATGACTGCAGAAGCTGGCCTGTCCTCCCCTAGACACCGGGCTTTCGGGGGAGCTGTCCTGGGGCCCTGGTTCTTAACCTCCCCATCCCACGGCGGGCTCACTCAGTCCACTCTGGCTGTCCTACCTTGAGTGTGTCCCCCTTGTTGAAGGCCAGCTCGTCGCTCTCCGTGGCCTGGAAGCTGTACAGGGCCACCGACTCCATGCCGCGGCCCGGAGTCCCAGCCGCTGGGCTCAGGGAGGACTGGCGGCTTCCTGCTTCCTCTGCAGTCGAGGACTGTCTTCCTCTGTTTTGAGAACGCGTTTGTTCTTTTGAAGCTGAGACTGAAACTGCCCCTGTTGGGAGAAACAGGAAGCAGAGGCCTGTCACAGAGCGGGGAGGGTGTGGGGGCCCACTCTCACCTCAGACCCTCAAGGCAGGTGTGGCTCTTGGGGAGTCTCCGGCAGCCCTGGGGAGGGTCCCTCTCCTTGTACCCATGTCACAGATGGTGAAACTGAGGTCTCCAAGGAGAGTGGGCAAGCCGTCCTGGCGCTCCAGCATGGCGCCTCCCCCGCCACCTCCGCCACTTCGCCACTGATCTGTCGGCCCCATTTCCTAAGCCCCAGGGCCTCTGCGACCGCCCCGCGCTCACTGCCTCAACCCCAGCTCCTTTCCTGGCGTGCGAGGCCCTGCCAAGCCGTTGCCCCGCTCACCTGTGGACTCACACTTCGTTTCTTTTTTTTATGTTATGCTATCACACTCAATCTTTAATAATAAAATCCCATGAAACATTATCTGTCATATTACATGCCACGATTGGCTTTCTGGAAGCAACTTTGTTTTCTGTGTACAAACCCGTGTCAATGAAATTTTTAAAAAATTATACTAGGCAAAAACTTTATTAATCTTTGTTTCAAACTATATTCCCAGGCTTCTTCAGTTTAAGTAGCTGCAAAGAATGATTTGTGTATGAGCAAAAACTGAAAAGAGCTGCCATAGGCAAGGGGCTAGGGCTTAAAAATATCAGAGAGGTAGATTTTATCAGATCCATGAACGAAATTTGAAAAGGTAGCCGTAATGTAAAATAGCAGCTCCCAGTAACTTCAAGTTTGTCTTCTCCAGAGGTCGACGCCATCCACTTTGCTTCATTCTTGGAAAACTCTTCACGATTCTCCCCGAGGGCAGGAACTTCATTGTCCTCATCCTCTCCTGGGGCCCGCAGCGCTTTCCAACCACAGGCCGCTGGGCAGAGCGTGGCCAGCCCCCTTGCCCCCGCCAGGTGGTTGCCCGAGTGGGAAGTGTCGCAGCCAGAGGTGCCTGAGCCTTAGGGCCGTTCCAGTGGCCCACCGTTCCTTCTCTTGTGAACACACCTCTTCAATGCCAGAGACGCTGCTCACCCCTAACTTCTCTGAGGAGCGCTGACGGTTTTCATCGCCTGCTGTGGCCGTGGTTGTGTGAACTACCTTCGTCCTACAAGCAGCTCCTTTCCCACCCGTGCTCACTTGTGCCTGCGGCTGGGCAAGTTTCTCCTGGCCCGGGACACTTTCTTTCATCTTGTTGGACAGGAAACGGGGCTGCATGGTGAGGCGGGGAGCCTGGGCTGGCGCCCAGGGGTCCAGGGCGGGCCAGCTAAGAATAAGCGCACACGGGCGGGACGCGGGTGCAGCGGGAGCTGCACTTTGTTACTCACCTTCCCTCTACACAAACCCGGCTCAGCCCCCGCAGGGGGACACACCACACTTACATCTCCTGCCCCGGGCGTCGCACACGTGCCCGCCCGTCCCAGAGACTGGGAGCCCGTGGTCAGAAAGAACAGCGGGCGAACCTGGACCTTCGTTTCTGGGCTTGTTACAAACACTGGTGTGGCGATCCTGTCACTCCTGTGTGAGTGTTGTGGGAAAGTGACAAACACGGGGTGCTGTTCTCTCTGGGAAAGAAAGGAGACGTGGCCCGGAAGGGGACAGTGAGGAGGAGCCCTGCGGTGTCTGCTGGAATTAGACAGATCAGTGTGAAGCAAGATTAATTTTTCCTGTAAAAAAGTTTTTCTGCCTTCATTTCTGTCAATGTGTCTATATCATGCTTTCATATTTTCTTCAATGGATAATAATCTATTATTATTGTTATTTTTTCGATGCTTAAGTTGTCCCAGTTTTGGCCAGTGGGACCGCCCTCGAGAGGCCTCATTGTCCTTTGGACAAGTCCTCTCTGTTCCCTGTGCACTTCTTAACTTTCTGACAATATGTTCCAGGCTCACCCAGGACTTTTTCTGCTCCAGTCCTGGAATCAGCCATCTCTCCAAAGAGATGGAGGACAGTATTTTTAGATGGAGGATGGTGTTTAGGCACCAGCGTGGAGCTGGTGCTCGGGTTCTATGTGTGCAGGTGTCATTGCTTACAGACGCTCTCTGCAGACACAGCTAGAGAGAGAGTGAGAAAAATATACACATATATACCCGTTATGTAAATGTATACCCTCTCAACTTACATATATTAATTTTCTATATGAACTCATTATATATGTTTTATATATAAAGACTTTTTAGCCCTGGTTGGCGTGGCTCAGTGGATTGAGTGCTGGCCTGAGAACCGAAGGGTCTCCGGTTCAATCCCCAGTCAGGGCACATGCTTGGGTTGCAGGCCAGGTCCCCAGTAGGGGCCCCCCAAGAGAGGCAACCAATTGATGTTCATGTCTCACATCAATGTTTCTCTCCCTCTCTCCCTCCCTTCCCCTCTCTCTAAAAATAAATAAATAAAATATTTTAAAAAAAAGAGTTTTTAGAGATATTTCTTAGGGAATAGAGAATGTCCATATGTTCATATTTACTTCTATGTGTGTCTATATAGCTATGGATAATATATTAAAAACCATGAGCTCAATCAGATATGAATTAGTGAATGCAAGTGAGGGGTATATGGGTGTTGCTCCTACCATTCCTACAGTTTTTCTGAAGGTCTGAATTGTTTCTATATAAAAAGTTGAGAAGATGTATGTGAATCTGCGGTTATCTCAAAATAAAAGGTTTAGTTAAAAAAGTTGAAGGGAAAGAAGAGGAAGATGGCAGAAGGCTGTCCCCAGCTCCAGCGCCCCAAGAGGCCTGGCAGGTGGCACTGCCCAGGCCCTGGCTCGGCCCCACGGGGAGCTCCGCCCCCCGCCCCCCCGCCCGCCCCCCCCCCCCGCTGCTCCTCCCTGTCTACTGCCTGCCCCAGACCCCACGGTGACAGGATGTTGTAACAGGGCTCTTTCCGCTCAGTTTCAGCGGAGGCTTCAAGGCCTCAGCATGGTGCAGCCACCTGGGGATTGGGATTTACGCCACCCCAAGTCTGAGGTGCCGCAGGCCAGAAGGGGGAGGGCTTCCTCTGTTAGGCCAACACCTGTCCTCTGGGGCCTGCAGGCCCCGCAGCCTCTTTGGTCTGTTTTTCAAAGTACCTTTTCTGTGCCGAGTCACACACTAAAGGGTGAGCAGCCCTCCCTCCCATGGGCCCTCGGCAGCAAGTGGCAGGGCTGGAGTTTGAACCCGGGCGGGCTGGAGGCCAGGCCTCTACCATAGCCCCCAGGCCACCCACGGGGCCTCCGCAGCCGCTTGCGCGGTGAGCTCAGAAAGCGGTGTGGGGAGCAGCACATCTGTGCTGGAGGGCAAGGAGCCTGGTTCTAAGACCAAGCAGGACCCTACAAATAGGGCTTGATCAGGAGGGCCCTGGAGGGGTTCAGGCACCCAAAGTGAGGGTGGATGGTGGGCCGCGAGCAAGGGGCATCAGGGCTGGCGGCTGGGAGAGCCCCAAGTCTCATCCCGGAACTGCCCCTGGGGTCGCCCCCACAGCTGCCACAGGAGAGAAAGCGGGCCCTTGGCACAGGCATGGCAGAACCATCTACGGCAGGCTGCTTCCTTCCTGATGAGGCAGGGTAACAAGCTGCTTGGGGAAGTCCTCGCAAGTGGGATCAGGGAACTGAGGCAGCTGGACGAACTGGCCAGGCAATGCACAGCCAGAGGCAGAAGCCCCAGGGCAGAAGGTGGCAGGGGCTCAGGGCTGCAGCTCGGCTGCCGACCTCGCCCCGGGGTGGCCTGCCCTCCCTGGCTTGGTGCTGGCCCTGCTGCTTGGACCTGTCAGCTAAGGAACATCCCAACCTGTAAGAATTTTTATGAGTTTATTTGAGCCAAAACAATGACAACTGCTGGGAAACGAAATCCCAACAGATTGAGACAATGCTCCAGAGAAGGGCAGTTTTGCGACTTACACATTCCGATCAAAGGAGGCCTGAGGGATCACTCGGAATTCACTGGTGACAGGTCAGGGAGGCGGGAGAAGACCAAGCGGGGAGACCTCCGGGACTGGGTAAAAAGTAAAATGATAGACTATCTTCTTTTACAGAGGCAGATACAGGACAGTTAAATAGTTAACAATTCACGTGATTATCTAATTATTATCAAATAGCGATGAGGGGATCGTGATCTCCCCGGTTCAGAGGGAGGTTGCGCCCTGAGGGGCCTGGCCGAAGGGGTCACTTGGACGTTCCGAAGGTCTGTTACCTTAGACGCAAAAAGACAATAGACTGGCTCAGTTAAGGGAAAGGCTGACTTTGTCAGGGAAGACACTGGCCTAGGCCAAGACGACCTGCCATGACCTGCTTTTACTTGGGAAGTTTTCATTTCAGACCATCCTGTGAGGTTACTTTCGGTCTGCGTTTGCAAGGCTGCCACGCAGGCCTCCCCTGAGCTGGTCAGGGTTAGTGTGTGGTCCCCTTTTCATCCACTGTCCCCCGACCTTTCCTATTGCTGGTCATTTAGTTTAGACACCCTTCCCCCACCTTTCCTCCCTGGAGACAACATCCAGGCCTCAGTTGTATTTCAGCCCCAGGCTCAGAAAGGCAGCAAAAGGTGGGCGACACCAGGACCAGCTGCAATGACGAAAGACCCCCAGAAAGGACACACCTGGAAAAGATGCTGGATATTCTCTTGCGATCCTCGCCTAAGATCGCTCCTAAACCCCCAGCCTTTAAAAACTCTCAAGACAAGGACCCAGTGTGCTCTGCGCTCTCCCGCCCAGGAGCCCACGCCTTTCTTCCCCTCAAGGTGGCCCATGTCCTAAACCCTAAGGGTCCCCACGAGACTTGCAACAGGGGGAGCAGTGGGCTGTGGCTGCTCCTCCCGGGCGAACCGTTCCGGGGGCCAAGGCAGCCCCGCCTGGGCTCTCCCACTGCTTCTTCTACCCCATGCCCTCCCCCAGCTTTGATAAATGTCTGCAATTGTCCTGCACGAAGTCAAGAACCCACACACCAGAGGTTGGCCTGCGGCAGACCCGCT